GCCCCTTCTGAGCAAACAGTATGTCTACTATTAAGTAAACTTAATGAAAAAAAGGCTATGGGTCTTGATAAAATTCCAGCTAGGCTCCTAAAAATTGCGGCTTTTGTTGTCCCTCGCTTACCAACATATTTGAGCGATCGATTGTTACCGGAATATATCCAACAGAATGGAAACTCGCGCGGGTGTTACCAGTGTTTAAAAAAGGCAGGAAATCTGACCAGAGCAATTATCGACCAATTTCAATATTACCAATTGTCTCAAAAGTTTTTGAAAAAATGGTTTATGATCAGCTTTTTGGCTATTTAAACGAGAATAATTTATTAAGTAGCTGCCAATCTGGCTTTCGTTCGCTCCATAGTACAGTAACAGCTTTACTTGAGGCCACTAATAAATGGTCGGTGAATATAGAAAAGGTCTTCTCAATGGGGTAATATTTATTGACCTGCAGAAGGCCTTTGACACTATTGACCATGATATTTTACTGCGTAAATTAGTAAACTATGGTGTTGACCAGAATGCCCTAAGGTGGTTTAATTCATATCTCAGTGGCCGAACCCAAAAATGTGATGTCAACGGCAGTTTATCTAGTCTTGGCGCAATTAATTGTGGCGTGCCCCAAGGTAGTATTATTGGTCCTTTGCTATTTTTAATTTACATAAATGATCTACCAAATTGTCTTCGATCAGCCTCTGCCAATTTATTTGCTGATGATACTAATATTAGCCTTTCGGCACGTAACCTACCTGAACTTGAGCCCCTAGTCAATTCAGAACTTGCTAATCTCAAAACTTGGTTGATTGCAAATAAACTTAGTTTGAATATAGCTAAAACCGAATTTATGGTTATTGGCTCGAGGCAAAAAATATCTGCCGATAATCACAGTACAATTTGTATTCAAATTGGCGATCAGACGATCCAGCGGGTTGGTCACACTATTTCCCTTGGCCTGACCATCGATGACCGTCTTTCTTGGTCCAATCATATTGATGAATTATGTAAAAAAATTTCGTCAGGGATCGGGGCTTTGAAAAGAATTAGACCTTGTGTCCCTTTACACTCTGCTGTGCTAATTTATAATGCTTTAATATTGCCATATTTTGATTATTGTTCTCCAGTTTGGGATGGTCTAAGCAATCAACTTAGCGATAAACTACAAAAACTGCAAAATCGTGCAGCCAGAGTAATTATGAGAGCCAGTTACGATATAAGGTCTAGTGAACTTCTTGACATGTTGCAATGGGATATGCTTAATATTCGTCGCAAGAAACAAAAAGCTATTGTAATGTTTAAATCTTTAAACAACTTAGCTCCTGATTATATGCGAAATATGTTTGTTCCACGGAGCACAGGTTATACATTAAGAAACTCGGTTAGACAAGTTGATCTACCGATGCCCCATACTGACTACTTAAAACGTAGTTTTAGTTATAGCGGGGCTTGTTTATGGAATAATCTTCCAGAAAATGTTCGGAAAATTACCTCTCTGCAACAATTTAAATCCGAACTTGACAAATTCTTTTGAATATCTGATTTCCACACGGCAATCATGTAAAACAGTATTTTGTGTTATTATTGTGTGCTTTGTTATTTGTATGGCTAAAAGTTTTTAGATATTTCTCTTTATTGTTTGTTGTATATATATAACATTACTGATGATTCTACCGTGTATAAATAAATTTTTAATAATAATAATAATAATATAAAATAAATAATAAAAAGGAACCAGGATAGAAAAATGACACAAAACTTCAAACTTAAAACCAAATCTTAAATCAAGCAAGCTTTCCCTGTTTTTCGTTTTAACTGTTCTCCAATTTTATAGATAGCCAATCCATAAAAATAATTTGTGGTCATCCTATGGCGTCATATTTCCGCCAAAATTCAACTTCGTTATTTTATGTTGAACATTCTTTGTTTTATTGGACTTTTTGTATTCTGCATTCAAGTTTGTGTATTACATTCATCTTTATGTTTTAAATTCATGTTTGTGTCGGTTTTACATTCAAGTTTGTATTTTCCATTCGAGTTTTCGCATTTTACATTCAAGTTTGCATTGTACATTCAAGTTTGTATTTTATCCAACCGCAATCCAATAGCTAACCGGTTTCGCGGGCGCGGGCGTTAGACATAATCCAACTTTACAATAATCAGTTGAAAATCGGTGCAAACATCACCAGAGGCCTCATATCTATCTATTGCAATCTATTGCATTAACAACGTCATGAAGTAAATACCGTACTTCCTCCATAGTTCAGCTGTGGAATAACACAAAATTCACTATTGTATTTTAATTTTGGTTTTTTTATAGGACACACCGGCGCACTGAGAACACACCTATGAACTATAAACAAACGACTTTACCTACAGTTCAATGAGAAACACACGCGCACTAACCATTTCGAAATACCACCTCTATCGAAATCATTGAATCGAAATCAGTGATCGAAATAGAGGAAATTGAGTTCTCTGGCACGCCCGCCATACTTGCGCCCGCAAAACCGGTTAGCTATTGGATTGCGGTTGGATAAAATACAAACTTGAATGTACAATGCAAACTTGAATGTAAAATGCGAAAACTCGAATGGAAAATACAAACTTGAATGTAAAACCGACACAAACATGAATTTAAAACACAAAGATGAATGTAATACACAAACTTGAATGCAGAATACAAAAAGTCCAATAAAACAAAGAATGTTCAACATAAAATAACGAAGTTGAATTTTGGCGGAAATATGACGCCATATCATCCGTGGTCATCCGTGGTCACTCGTGGTCACTCGTGGTCACTCGTATGTACTTTTAGACAAGATCACTCACGAGTGCTTTTTTTCATCCAAACGTTATACTAGATTTATATATAACCATAAATAAACTTTAATGGCTGCCACATTTACATCGCCATGCACTTACAATCACAGTGTTGCTGATTCATAAAGTGCCATATATAAATTTCCCGGGCATCTATACAAATCTATACAAATCACAAAGTACGGGCCATTCATTAAAGACTAACATTCAACTTTAGGCAAATTACTTGCCACAAAATTAAACAGGAAATCCGGTTAAGATTTGCACTCATTAATGCCGTACACACATGTGCGTTTGCCGCGCACTTTGACGCGTTGCCAAAGTTATCTACACATAAACCAAAGGCCAAAGACACTTTACTGCGAGTCAACTCAACGTTCCGTAAATTGTTTTGTTTATCTATTTGTAAAAGCGTAATTATCACCGCTGGGCGTAATCTTGTTTTGCGCTGTGTCAGTTCTTTATGAATTACTCATGCCTACAAAGAAGAGGGGAAAACACCAGCAAACTTGTATCTAAAATGTTCCTATTTGGGCAATAACAAGCTGTGCATAGTACTAAAACTCGTTAATAGCCGCCGTAACTGAATTTATAAAGACACGTAAATATTGACGATGGCTTAATTGTTGCTAAATGAGTGCCTCGCATAAAAAAGCCATAGAACGGGCTTCATTTGCACTCATTCCATTCATACGGTATTCGACTAAGTGTTTATGGAAACAATGCTTGTTGACAAATACTGCTTTAAAAAAGCATCGATATGGTGGGCCTTCTTTTTGTCTAGATAATAATTATTACTGATTGGCTATTGGATTGTTAAAACATACGTTGAAGAAATAAAAGTTACGATATTATATTCAAGATAAGATAGGACGTTGGATATGCTTGTAAGCAAAAAAAAGTTTTCCAAAAATATCGAACTAATAAAAAAAGCGAACAGTCACGCGTAACACGATTTTTACGATACATTGTTGAAAGGAAAATTTCAAGAAGATAATAAAGACTAAATAAAATACAGGAGCAATTTTACTGTAACTAATATAATGCATCACGATCGAGCTTGCATGGTGACAAAATTAATGTGGCCCTAGCGATGGACTGAAAAACTTCATTAAGTTGCGTATATTTGGCGTTGAATTACTTCGAAAATGAGTGCTAAATTAACAGAGTAATCGATATTATTTTAATTTTATTCGTAATGTTGGAAAAAAGCTACAATCTTGCAGGGTCAAAACATTGACGTACCCTGTGTGTTAATTGACACTACAGTCAGCAGTCGCGGGATTTATTTCAAAATTCTCCCCCTTTCCCCTACTTTTGAGCTCTGGCAAGCTACATCATACTTCGTTCTTTTTGCCTTTCGCTATTTCGGGTGACAAATAAAATATTGTTTAATATATAGTTAAAAGCCGGAAAACAAACGAAGAATGCAATTGAAATGCTTACATTTTTGCCTGTGATTTCAGAAGATTCGTTTCAACTTTAAGTCAATCAGAACATACCATTGCACTTTACTTTAGAAATTTACTGTTAACTTTTATAGTATTAGTTTTTCCGAAATATGTAACTCTTCATTTGCTAATAATTTGTACGATTGCTTGTGGAAACACCACGTAAATTCAGTTTTTCAAAGTTTACGGCGGTCAATAAGCCCAGGGGCCGGTTGTATCAAGCCCGTTTAGCTTAAACGGTGGTTAAGTTCAAAATAGAAAGCAAGTCTATCGTTTTATTCAAGAAGCGAACTAAATATTTTTAACCTTATAATACAAAGATACTGGTTACAACTGTATATTCAGTGCATAGTATTCAAGTTGACTCATTCAAGAGAGATGTAAGATTGTTATTTAAATTTGACTTATCCATCGACCATCGTTTAAGCTAAACGGGCTTAATACAACTGGCCCCAGTGGCCGGTTGTTCGAAAGGCGTTTAACTTAAACGGTGAATAAGTTTAAAATGGAAAGCAATATTATCTACCTATTTGAACAACTTAGCTGAAATATGTCGATGTAAATAGCTTAATTGTCAATGGAAGTACATTTTATAGTATAACAACTGTCTAAAATAGGCAAAATACTTCTCGACGTTTCAACCTGAGGGCCTTCGTTAGGGAGTTACCCCGTAATTAGTGTTACCCTGCAATCGTAGATTGATAAATGTAAAGTCTAAAACCACTCTTTTCTACATAGTTCCACCAAAAATCGTTAGCCATCCTCCAGACACACGGCTACTCCGCGAAGGTGAAGAAATAAGATTGGGTTGCAACGCTACCGGAAGGCCCATTCCAGAGGTCAGCTGGTACAATGGTAGCATCGAGTTAACGAAAGGTGTCAAGAAAGATAAAGGCTCAGCCGAATATATAAATCCCAAGGTATCGAGATGGGACAATGGAAATTACAAATGTGTCGCGAAAAATATTGCTTCTCAAGTCGAGTATACTGTCGAGGTTATAGTACGATGTAAGTATGGTTAAAGTTCGTTCGTAAACACGCACGTACGTGCAAATACTGGACACCGCCGAGTCTGGCTTAATGCATCAGTTCTGGCGAACCCGCGACTTTTGGTTTACTTGTCCAATGCTCTTCCAACTGAACTAGTATATAGGTCGAGACTTGGGGTCGATATCCGCCGTGATTAAGCTAGTTTTTCAGCTTACTCGGCTGATAGTTCAGAGTAGCACCATTAATGGTTCATATACACCTGAATCATACATTACCAGAAATTTGCGACATGATAATTTGCATGTATACTAATTTGCATTTAACTTTCAGCGTAATGGCCTTCAACTTTTACTATAAAATACATATAGTAATTATACAAAACTTAAAAATGCCGTTGCCCTAGACCTTGCCCACTGTTTGCCGACCTCTAGATCGGTAGAACAGCCGTTTAGAAACGTTTTGGTGACAGAATTTTTTAGCTTGGGCATTTCTGCATTCTGCCAAATTTAAAGACATGTTGCTCAAATTTTTGTCCGTGTTCTGTCCACGAACTTTTAAAATCGCTCACATTGATTCGAATATTTCGATTCAGATAGTGTATAAATTGACGTATAATGTACCAAAAAAAATTGTTGAAGATATTGTCTTTCGTATTTGTGTATAAACTTTCTTGTACGGCTCGGATTTTTACTGCAATCACTTTAAAAAATATTATCAGTCTTATCTGTAACTTGAATAATACGAAGGCTATATACCCATTTGTTCACAATCATTTGGCCGAACGTAGAAATACCTAAGGTAAGTAATTCGATCATTAAAACGTTGGGAAACGGCTGTTTTATTGATCCTGAGGTCGGCAAACAGTGGGCAAGATCTAGGTCAACGGCATTTTTAGATTTTGTGTATTTACTATATGTATTTAATAGTAAAAGTTGAAGGCCATTATGCTGAAAGTTAAATGCAAATTAGTATATATGCAAATTATCATGTCGCAAATTTCTGGTAATGATGCGCTATAATAAAAAAAAAATTATTGCCCTGTGAAATTTTGACAATTTTTTTAAATCTCAAGACACACCATTTCGTACGAAAATCAAAATCGATGCAAAAAGTGACACGTTGGAAAGGGGCGAAGATCTCAAGATTGTTTGTGAAGCATGTTCTAAACCACCTCCGATATTCAATTTATACCACTACAGTGAAGTCGGCGTAATGACAGAGATTGTAAAGGTTCAAAATAACACTAAGGGAGAGTTCTACATCAGAAACATTAAACCAAGCCAAAGAGGGAAATATTCTTGCGTGCCGCATAATGATGTGGGGGTTGGTACAGAGGCAATAGTTCGCGTACGTGTACGATGTAAGTGTACTAGATAAATGCATTGTGTATATAATAATTTTATTGTATATCTATTTAGCGTCGGTGAAGAAAACTCGTCCCCAGGGCACTTTTTAGCGTGAAAGACCAATCAAGGCAAATTAAACACAAACATGGCGAATAAATAAGATGTTTTTTGAAACTCTCAGAATTCTAAAGGCAAAAGGCGTGACAGCTCAAATCCATTACGCCTGCATTTTAGCCCTGTTTACACTACATGATAGAACTACCTGTTCCCATTTTATCTCAGTGCACGGCCTTTGAATGGGGCACATATAGCTAAAATTGGGTATAGGTATGAATTTTAACTGTGCCGTGTCATTAAATTGACTGTAGTGTAAATGGGGCCGTCTCAGGCTGTGAGCGTTTTCATTCAGTGATGTCTTCATGACAAAACAGATGAAACCCTATATGGATTGATGGCAAAAGCTATAAATGTTTCAATATGTTGGAATATATTGCTAAAAGGCGTCAAAATAATGAAAGGAGTGAAAACGTTTCGAAAATGCGCAAAATGACGCAAGTAGCACTAATGTGATTTTAATGAAAATCTGGCTCTCAGCCAAATTTGGCGCGCAACATGAAAATGACATTTTCAGTGCAATAAGCTAAAACGTCGGTTTGGTGATATCTTATTTAATATTTAAATTGATAAAAATAGCTTAATTGACCCATTTTGGAAGCCATGTGACATATCATTATGTGCCGAATTATCTTAGTGTTCAGATCCATCCACCACCTTCAACATGTCTGATTTAACGAATGGGAGCTGGTTTAAGTAATCTAGCCACGTATCTCGTGATAGAAGTGCTAAAAAAGCTTCCAAGTTTTGTTCCAACTAGGAACTATGTTGAAATGGACAATTTATCCCTTTCGTGATCGAAAATTTTTTTCATGATAATTTACTATGGTAATTTTCTTCAATCAGCCGCTTTTTTCGTAGTTTCTCCAGTGATAAAGAGAATTGCAGCTAGGAGGACGAATTTGACGAAGGGCGAGAATCTCGTGATCTGGTGTGACACAGAGGGCTATCCTATACCTCGAATCAAATGGACAAATAAATATGGAAGAATCATTAGTAACGATCGCACCTTCCGAAAGAATAACGTTAATGAAAACGACGACGGACTTTATACCTGCACAACAAATAATGGTATTTCTCCCAGCGCCAACAAAAGTGTCTATATTAACGTCTTTTGTAAGTATAATTGTTTTACAATCTATAAGAGAAGGTTTATGACGCACTTTTCTTTCAATTAGCAGTATTCTCGCTTGCTAGAACATGACGGTTGATCCTGCTACGATTAGATTTTGAATTATTTTCTTTTGTTTTTATTTTTCAAATAGATTAAATTTTAAAATGTTAGCAGAAGACACTGGTCGATCTGAAGTTCTCCCCCTATAAATTTTCCTTCCCCGAATTTCAAAATTTTGGAAAAAATGATTTCTCGAACAATTGGGGAACGACGGTTTCCACCTAACCCTGCCCCTCCCCCTCCCTTGGCTACGGTTCTGAAAGAATCAAAATTTGCAGCTGCGTTATGTTTAGAAATGGATAACTTTAAATCATGAAATTCTTATTCATAATACCTGTCGTATTCTCTCTTTAATTAGACAGACCAGTCATCGACCTCCAAAAGTCATCAGGTTCGAAACATGCACTAAAAGGTGATACAGTTTTTCTCAGATGCAATGCTACTGGTAATCCAACACCGACATACGAGTGGAGAAAAGGGTCCAGTGTGATTGCTAGTAAACCTAGCACATCTCTTGATGGTTTAAAAAATGCTGATTTTGGAAAGTATACGTGCTTTGCGCGCAATTTTGTTGGAGTTACAACTCATGAGGTGAAAGTTTTCAGAATTGGTAAGTATATGCTGATGCTCTAAGATTAGGAATGGCGAAACATTGCTTTTGCAATGAAAGACGTTTTGCACGAAAGGAAACTCTGTCCTGTCGTTTGAAAATATATATGGATTCATTTCTAGAGTGGTCGAAAGCATAATTATTCATTAACTAATTACAATGCAAGTAATAAAGTAAGCTATTTAAATGCATTTTCACGTATTTCCTGTGAACGGGATGCCATCATTTTTTTAAATAATTGCATGAATGTGATTGGGTATTGGGAATACGTAAATGCGTTAAATTTCCCACTCATTTTTTCCCTATTATTTGCTGTATAGAAAAATAATTATTGTTTTGTATTTTGATATTTTTACTACGTCTTTACTAGTTTTTATGGATACGTTTTGCATTTGTTTAGTACATGATTTCTTCGCAGACTCAAGCGGAAGATGCCTTCCTTGGCATTATTAATATAGGATGAAAATTATTGATCGCGCACGCTTATCAGTATGCATGGATTTCCTATGCGTATTATTCAGAAATGCGTATTTGAACGTACACCAATTTAAACTTTCATCCAACCAGATTTTAACGTTATTTCACCCTCGTGACCTTGGCGGCGTTTAGGTTGCACGTCGAAAAATACAGTAAGGTCAAGCGGCGGGACCCTGAAACGCCAGTTTGAGTCAATCACAAAAGCATTAATACTAAACTCGTTACTAGATAAACCGTCGATTACTGAATTAAATGCTACGGAGCTGAATTCAAGGTTTGTGCATATTCAGTGGAAGATTCACGGGGACACCCAGTTCCCTATTAAAAAACAGGAGCTAGTGTGTATCTCGAAAAAAAACAACGCTGTAATGGTAAATAAAACGATGACAGGGCACAGAAGATCAGAGAAAATTAAAGACCTCAAACCCTTCACTACGTACGAGGTTCGCCTAAAAGTCTGGAATAAATATGTTCCGAGTGACCCAAAAAAACTTAAATTTCAAACGAAGACAGCAAGTGAGTATCCACACTAAAATATTTATATATAAGACTAATAAGAGATTTACGGAGGTCTAGAAGTCTATCTTGAAATTTACTTACGTCGAAAGAATTACCCTATAAAAAGGTCATTTCTTCAACCTCATTCTGGGAAGATGATGAGAAATCTTATCTTACAGATTTCTGCATGTTTAGAAAGTTCGCGTAAAGTTCTATATATATTCAGTACATACTAATTCCTAACACGTCTTATGTATTGGGAGAAGTCTTGGCATAGTATCATCTTAATCTCGGTACCGAGAGGAAAGACTGTGAATGTATTCTCTATATATATATAGTAGCTAAATCATTAATGTTAATCTTTTATGATGTTTTTGTTAGCTAGGATGAACTCATATTTCTCTCCTACCTGTAGCTCCTGGTCCTCCTGGGCAACCACGAATTCAATTTCTTGACACCACGTCAGTCCGTGTTACCTGGGATCCGCCAAAGGAAACCAATGGAGAATTACTCCAATACCGCTTGTTCTACAGGATCGCAAATGATTCCTCGACGGAGAAATTAAACAACGTGAACGGTTCCGAAACCTCGCTCAAAGTCGTCTTAAAACGTAACGTGGAGTACATATTCAAAGTGAAAGCAGTCACAAGTTCTGGCCCAGGGCAGTTTAGTAGAGAAAAATACTTCTTAATGGTCTACCAAGGTATAGAAACGACGAAGACCAGCAGCCATTTGTGTAAAGTCTGTTTGTTTTACTCATTGTGGTTGCAAGCATTGACAAAATATTACAAAATTTTATAATCAAAAAACAAAAGAAAATATTATTAAAAAACGATGAATTTATTCATGAAAAAATTAATTAACTTCTTGTTTGTTTGAATCGATAAGTGGCTTTTGTTTTCATGGTGCTGACCATGCAATCTACCAATCAAATTTACCAGTCAGGTACAAGCATGCGATTAGAGAAAGGAAACTTAATATTTTTTTGGAAATGGATCGGCTACTTTTACTATTATATAGGTATTTTGAATGATGCAATATTTGCAACATTGCAACAACGGTATTTCGTGCACCATGCAGTATTTTATACATATATATATATATATATATATATATATATATATATATATATATATATATATATATATATATATATATATATATATATATATATATATATATATATATATATATATATATATATATTGTGGATCTTGGGAAGGTTGTCCGAAAATATATACATATATACAAATAGTTGTGACATGTGACCACGTATTTCCATCACGTGTCGCACTTAATTACGCATGCAAACGCTGCGAACGCTTCGTTAAATCAATAGCTGGCAAAGCATACACAATGTGACAACAGGCTATTAGTAAAATATACCTTCATTTCTTTTATTTGAGAGCCCATTTATCACCGAATGTCAGCGTTTTCTAATTGATCGGCGATTTCCCTAAGGTATAGCTCTGGATATCTGAGAATTATTTCACATATTGCCAGTTCTTCATGCTGGTAAAGTGTTGTGCTACAAAGAGGCCTGCCAAACTTATGGGGCGAAGTAACGTTACCAGTATTAATAAACAGGTTGAAAACTCGATCTACTGTCCTTGGCGAAACAAACAAATCGACAGCAACTCTGGTTGAAGACCTGTTATAAAATAATTTCTGCCACACAATCCCCCATCTTATATCGTCTGAATACGGCTTAGGCATTTTACAACAAAAATATCCCAACTAAGCAATAACCTTGAAGCAATTTTGCAGCGTTTGCATGCGTAATTAGATATGACACGTGATGGAAATATGTGGTCACATGTCACAACTATTTGTATATATGTATATATTTTCGGACAACCTTTCCAAGATCCACAATACATATATATATATATATATATATATATATATATATATATATATATATATATAATATTATATATATATATATATATATAATATATATATATATATATATATATAACATTTCTGTAGCCGTTGATTCTCTATTTATTTTAGCACCAATTTTAGTATATTTTGACGTTGAATTACTTCGGGCTAAATGAATAGAGTAATCGATACTATTTTAATTTCATTCGTAATGTTGGCCCAAAAAAGCTACAATCCTGGTCACACCCTGTGTGTTAATTGACACTATACAGTCAGCAGTCGCGGGATTTATTCCAAAATTCTCCCCCTTTCCCCCACAAATCAATGTTGAGTGATGTGCTATAACTCATTCAAGCATTTAGCATAGATTCAACATTGATTAAGGGGGGTTAGGGGGCGAGGGGAGGGGGAAACGAAACAGAAATATTATTTCTTTGCGTAAAAAACTACAAATCATTCAGAGTGTAGTCGATGGTTTTGGCCAGGATTGTAGCTAGCGCAGAACAGACTTGGCATAAAAGCTAGCTAGCGCAGAACAGACGACAACTTCGTCCACGTTGTAGTTCCAACTGTTTGTATTTAGCTTAATTTTTACGGCTTGATTGATATTATAGTCTGACAATCATTTGTATCTGACGTTTCATGTGCAATAGCTATATCATGCATAAAAAAACACGCAAAACTGCGGATGAATCATTTATTGCTCTTCTATTTTCAAGCGGCAGGTGGTTAATGTGAGGCTGTGAGCAATCTCTTTTTAAATGAACAATTAGGTATATAACATAAATGTCGTGGTGCATATTCATGCAGTACCGCAGTAATTTACATTGTGCATGGTAAACATTTTTAATATAACATGTGTCTATAGAATACTTTTGAGCTCTGGCAAGCTACATCATATACTTCGTACTTTTTGCCTTTCGTCATTTCGGGTGGCAAATAAAAATATCGTTATATATATATAGTTAAAAGAAAACAAACGAAGAATGCAATTGAAATGCTTAAATTTTTGCCTGTGATTTCAGAAGATTCGTTTCAATTAACTTTAGGTCAATCAGAACATACTATTGCACTTTACTTTAGAAATTTACTGTTATCGCTAAAATAAGAAGTTTTATAATATTAGTTTTTCCGAAATATGTAACTCTTGAGTGCTACTAATTTGTACGTTTGTTTGCGGAAACACCACGTAAATTCAGTTTTTCAAAGTTTACGGCGGTCAATAAGCCCAGGGGCCGGTTGTATCAAGCCCGTTTAGCTTGTTGAGAATAGAAAGCAAGTCTATCGTTTTACTCAAGAAGCGAACTAAATATTTTTAACCTTATAATACAAAGATACTGGTACGACTATATATTCAGTGCATAATATTCAAGTTGACTCGTTCAAGAGAGATGTAAGAGTGTTATTTAAATTTGACTAGCCATCCTCCAGACACACGGCTACTCCGCGAAGGTGAAGAAATAAGATTGGGTTGCAAAGCTACCGGAAGGCCCATTCCAGAGGTCAGCTGGTACAATGGTAGCATCGAGTTAACGAAAAATGTCAAGAAAGATAAAGGCTCAGCCGAATATATAAATCCCAAGGTATCGAGATGGGACAATGGAAATTACAAATGTGTCGCGAAAAATATTGCTTCTCAAGTCGAGTATACTGTCCAGGTTATAGTACGATGTAAGTATTGTTAAAGTTCGTTCGTAAAAAAGTGTTTTTGAATTCGAGTAAAATTACTCAAAAAGTTGAGTAAAACGTTATTTTTACTCAATTCATGCGTAGATTTACGCGAATATCGAGGAGTTCCACTCAAAATTTTGAGTAAAGTGTTTACGCAAATGTTTGAGTAAATTGTTTTGAGTAACTTAGGATGCTATACTCAACAAGCCGAGTAATTATACTTACATGCATTGAGTGAAATAACTCAATTTTACGATAAAACTTGATAATTTACTCAAACATTGAGTAAACTGATTATTTGCAATTACATTTTACTCAAGGTCTGAGTAAAATGAATGCTTCAGTTTAACGGTTTTACTCAAGTATTGAGTAAAATTACTCAACATGATCATTTGCTAGTAATTTTACACAATTCACGAGTAAAAGAGTAAAGTGAATAATTTGCGTAGTGGAAGCACTGCATGCGAATGTATGAATTTTAGTCTTTGGTTCCTGACGCGTAACTGGTAAGTCGCAGCTGAGTCTGTTGTGCGTTAAAATCTGTTGAATAATCTGCTCTGGACGTTAAAAGCCAAAAAGATGGAAAAATCAATTGACGGATTAAAAGAGTAGTTGGTGGAAATGGGTTTTGAGGATTATATTGTGCGCAATTTGAAGGTAAAGATACATATAACTACAGAGTTAACCTTTGGCCGATCCGTTAATTCCGCTGTTTATATGTTTTATCCTCGGTTTTATTTGGTTTTACAATATATGTTGGACAGAGGTTTCTTCGGCTAAACGCCGCATGGCACTAACTGCAGAGATTTGACGAATGCAGTCTTTCAATAGATGTTTTTGCGGAAGGCATATACAGTTCGTGTATACAAATCCGCCAATTATAAAGGAAAATCAAATGTTTGATTTTGGCGCGCGCTAATTACGGTATCCGGTCAATTAAATAAAATATTTACATGTTTATATAGAGCGCTCCCAGTGCTCTTATTCATGCTTTTTATTGCAAGAATATATGCCAGGGTGTTTTGATATTGAAATTATTTAAAATATTGGGGTTCGCTTGTTAATGTATCAGTGTGACAGTGTTTTTTTCACCAGAAAATCTGTAGCTTCAACAACCCGGTCTTCTGTTTATTTGGTCAGGTTTTAAATTTAATATTACACAACATATTACACAGAGTTTATAATATTGCCTATTGGCCAGTTTATAATGTAAATTGTTAACTAATAAACATGGTAAACACTTTGCCATTTTCAAATAGCTAACCGTGAAAAGTTCTGACCACATTCGACCTTACACATCAAGAGACGAAGTTAAATTAGTTAATGACCATAATGTTCATGAAGGTATTTGTAGCTTCCCAGATGTAAACACTTCGCAAATTCGATTTTATTATCTCGGTGTGCGCATCGCTTCTCTACGATTACCAACCTTGTACCCATTCTTGTAAGGGGGAGGAGAAGGCCATGGAAAAGGCAGCCTACCTGACTACAAATGCGAAACATATAATTTATAACCTTTTCTTTACAGTTGCCCGAGATAACTCATGGGATATTGTCGCAGGACTGGCGGTTGCCTTTTCTCTTGTAGATGTGGACGATGCTGGCATCCTTGAACTCCTGTGGGAGTTGACCTTCGATCCACATAGACTGGAACAGTAGAGTCAGTGTCTGTAACATGGCTGAGCATGGCTCACAACTAGTGAACGTATAAAACTCCATAATTTTCCCGTCCATTGGAGAACGATTATACTTTATTATTATATGGCAAACGTCACTTCCGGTGAAATGGAGCTCAGTGATTGGCTGAGAAGAATTTTCAGCGGTCCATTACACTTTCCCGTAATGGACTGACGTTATCGACGATCCATTACGAGATGAAAAACAGAGAAATTCTGAACGAAAAGTGTCAAGACAGTTTAGGTGCACTAATATTTTGCAATTTAATATTTTGTTCTTGTTTTTATCAAACGCGTAACAGGCTATACTAATACGAATTCGTGTATTTGTTATTTGTTTCAAGTGCAAATACATGGCTTATGCCAGAACAGTTCAAATTTACATGTGAACTGTTCTGTTTCCTTGAGGTCAATTCATTAATGATACCCCAAAGCATTCATAATTATAATAGGTTCTCTTCGCAAGTTTAATTTCATTGTTTACAGAATTTCGAGCTTTCTTAAAAGCAGTCCAGTCGCAAATATCTTTAAAAGCTTTTTTTTTAAAACATCTCTTTCATACTATTGACTTTTTAATTCAGGCGTAATCCAGGGCGACTTAGAAGATCTTACCCGCCTTGTCCGTAACGGGGCATGCATTTCTTGATGCTATGAGAGCTTCTAATTATTTATGGTACTTAATATTTTCAAGTTTAGATGAATGGATATCCTGAGATAATTTATATTCATCACGAATATCACGAGATAACCAAATGACATCCTTTTGGCGGAGTATCCTTTACTTAGTTTCATATATTATTATTGGCTATGGTGACTGTTTGAGAAAAATAGCAAATCATTTTAAGTTAGGGAACAGTTCATTGGGGGAGAGTCGTATTTATTTTTTTTGTGCCAACTGTCAATCATGCTTATCCTGTATTTAATTATTTTGTGTAAATGTATATAAAAAACTTCAAAAACTGGTCATTTCCAGAAACAGTTGCAGAGCTATATAGGAAGATCAATAAATTGGAGAAGGGCACATATTTATATATTCATTTTCACAGACTGTAAAAACAATCGATTTCAAAAAAAGTTAATGATGCAGAACCCCCCCCCCCCAGTTACCAACCTTCTGCTGCTACTGGAAGGAATAAATATAAGAAGCAGGCATTTGATCTCAGTTTGTTGCAACAATGTAAAACAATTTTCAAGTGTCAGAGTGACCAGATAAATGCTCAAGAAGGGGCAAACCATTTGAACATTCCAGGTATGCTCCAACCCTTGGGTCTTTATCAGATGACAAGACTCGGTGGAAAGGACATCACCTCTGCTCTCATCTGTGCTGTGCTCTGATCTTAATCTAACCATCTCCAGGTATTGTATTGCATCATCACTTAGTAATGGTAGTAGACACCTACCCCTAATAGGAAAGTGGATGACTTCCAGCCAAGAGCACAGCTCCAATTAAGTATTTCAATGCAGGTAAGTTTGACAATAATCTTCCAATAACTCGTTGCTTATTTTAGATGTATATGCAATTCTTGTCCTTTCCTATACACAAGCAAAAAAAAGAGAAAAGAAAGGTCAGCAGGAAACGTAAGATGCTATCAGTGAATTCTCTGACAAATTCTTAACTAAAACTAAGCTTGTGAAGAGCTATATTAGTCATTCAAGTCAGTTAGAACTGAAGAGACAGAAAAAAAAGGATCCAGAAGAAAAATCCGGAATGAAGAACGGAGAAGACGTATGCTGACTATGACTTGGAAAATATGTATCGAAGCGGACAACTAAAAAAGCTGAAAGTTCCAACTCTCGACCTTTACATTAAACACCATAGGATAAACTGTTGACATGCAAGGTCTTCTAAAGTCCGAGAAAATAGACATTATAACAGCCCACATTATTAGGTTTATACTGGCAAGAAATATGGACCAAGCTTTGTCTTATTGGTTTAGTTTCCTTAACACACGCAACTACAATCATGTGCAAAAATTATGAGACTTTACGTATTTTAAACACGTTTTTTCCATTTTGAAAACTATTTTGTCACGTATTTCTTTTAATTATTGACTATTTCCTCCTTTCCCCATTAACAATGTTGAGAATGATATTTTCGGCAAATCAAATGGCTTGGTATCATAGGAACAACATTGTTTTGGGGGGAGAGGGGGGTAGATACTAGGTGTAAGGACCATGTCTCAATAATTTTTGCACATGATTGTAGGTTCTATAATTTATTTGAAGTACTCCTTCTTTGAAGTACATATTTGGGATTGAATACATAAATTGTTATATGGATAAATAGAAATAGATATCGTTATTATCCTATATTTCTCCTTTTTTCAGACGTTTTAAAAAATAGCCGATGAGGCGCCGGGGGGGCACGTACTTATAGGCCAAGTCATGTGACCCAGGCTTGTTTCTTTTTCGTTTCTCTCCATTTCCGGTTCCGGAAACGTTGAAATGTGAGTTAGAGCACGGTAAGACAAGCTTTACCATTTGTTTTCCCATATATTTCTCCCTTTGTTTGCTCGTATAATCATAATTACACTAACAGGCCCAAGAGGCCCTTGTGTAATTTGAATTAAAATTATTAAATTGGTAGTGTATTCCATACTCCATCTGAATAAGAACGATTTCTGAAATGTCGCAGTCTTGCACTTTGTGGTGACACAAACAGTAGAGTAATGGTACGGTGCGTTTGTTTTGTATTTTTAACGAAGTAAGTCTATTTCCGCAAGTCAGAAAATAACATTTAAAAAGAAAACGTTTGGCATGCAACTGCATGTAGCTACCCTTGGCTGCTTTTCGGTTGAACAATTTGTGTGAAGGGCTAGAGGTTGGGAAGCGTTTGCCCATTAGACAATGAAAATATAGGGGGACGTTTGTTTTTACGGATTGGCTCAACTGTTAATACATAAAATATACATGGTTTGTGTTGTGAGATCATTATTGACATATATTGTAGTTATAGGCGAAACTAATATAAACTCATTATGCGAATTAAACAATTAAGTATTGTTATGTTAATCAAGTAAAAAACCCAAAAAGATTTGCTATATAAACTCGTGTAAATATTCTGCTGTATGTAGTCGACGGAATCTTCTTTAATATATGTATCCACACACACCTGAGTTGTGTTCTGAGTTTATAACAGTTTGGAGACCACATAAAACTACCATGCAACTCATTAACTATGTTAGGTAGATTTATGCAAAAAGTTGTTCCTTTCTCATCACATGTCTCTATCTGTATTTTGTACAGATAAACCAATAGCAATCTTATAATTAACATATTTTTAAACTGAAGGTTGATGAGCTTAGCAAGACGAATGCCATTGGTAAATTTGGCTAAAATTCAATAGACACGTGACGAGAAAGGAACCATTTTACATAAACCAGGACAATAACATAGTTAATGAGTTGTATTGTACTTTTATTTATTGTCCAAACCATGTATATTTTAAACGGAGAGTAAACCAGATTATATTTCTTCGCCGTTTCTTCTACATGAGGGGGTTGGGGTAATTTGAGGATTACAGGTGAAGTACTCTAATTCAACGTTGATTTACGAAGTACTAGAGAGTGCGCAATATCATATAGAAAGAGCAAATATAGAAGATACAGAAGTTAACTATACAGTCTGTTTCATCCGTATAGGAATATTCAGGTCTGAAGATTCCTGTCTAGACCGTACAGTGGATGATTTTTGGTAAGCAAAAACTAGTCCCGGATTGATAAAAAATAATTTCTTTTAGAGTTTCTTCTTTCTTTCCCAGTTTGATATAAAATAGTTTCTTTCAAACAAAACACACCAAGACCCAGTCAATTTACGGGTAATGATAAAATAGGCACTGGTACCCATTTTAGCCGTGTAGTCCGGTAAATTGGGTGTAGTGTAAACTGGGCTATAAAGTCAACCTTCAAACCATTTAAAAGTTTTGTAGACAACTTACCAAAGCGTTACCGGTACTTTCAAGTATGCTATGAAGAAAATAACCGTTAACTGGTACCATTTTGTCATGCCGACGACGACAGCGCAAGCATTTTAGGTCTAGTAATAAGTGTAGTCATGGAAAACGTATACTATTAAAGAGAAAAAACAAAGATTATATAGCTATGATTGATAAAGAATAATGACAATGATGATGCCAAATTCTAGGGCCATTTTTGCCCGCAACGAAGCCTCCTTTCATCCTATGATTTTGAATTTAAATTCGCCCAAATCAAGTCATTGGTAAATAAATAAAATTGCAAGTGAATTCAGTATGAGGACAAGTTTGAGGTAAAATCGCCATAATATCCAATAATTCGGACTTTCCGTGTAAGTTCCTCTAACGACAATTATATGGGTTATTATTGCATTGTTTTTTCACCCACTTATGCAGATAACAGTCTTTGCTGGGATGTTCAAAGTCTGTAATGGTTTTGTGCCACTTTGGTTCCTCGATGAATTTACTGTTCAGCTTGTTCAGCTTTGAACATAGGGTACTCCATGCGTAGGTGCCCATGAAACGAAACTCATAACCAACTTTGTACGTTTCTCGCCACTTGTGCAGCTCTCTATAAGCTGTGTCGTTTTTGTCCAGCATTTTCAAATATTCTGCCAGCTCCTTTGGCGAATCAAAGTCATTAACATGAATGATTGAGTTCGGAGGTACACGAACATGCTCTATATAGTCTTCTTTGTAAGCGCCCATCACAACTGGGACAGCATAGTTATCAAATCCCTGCATCCACATTTTCTCAGAAATATAGTCGCGGCAGTTCGAGTTTTCAAATGCTAGATAAAACTTGTAAGTTTTAATTTTCTCGCAGCCTTTGTTAATGTAGTACCCTTCACATTTTAGTTTTTCATCACCGCATTTCCCATAGACGTCGACCTCCATGTATTTTTGTAGCTCCTTTACAAACTGACCTCTTCCATTTTTTACATAATAGCAATTACTCAATAATACAGCTGCAAGTTTGGTTTTATTTCGCACAATGCCGTCTATATCTGTCTCTTTTTTCTCATTCTCGCTTTTGTTCAGCTTCCAACCGTGTAACATCGGGACATCAGCATCCGTACGATAAGTCATTGTCCAGTTGAACGCATATTTCCCCCTAAAATCGCTCATTGTAAAACCAACAGGTTTCAGAATGGCATGGAACGGCGACTCTACGTTGAAGTATATCCATCGTTGCCATGTTGATCGACTTTGTGGCATATATTGGAGGTGGCCGCCTAATTCTCTCACATCTATTACAACAAAATCACTAACATCAAGTAGTGACCTATCTCTTGTTATGAAACAGTTGTCGACATAAAGGTTAACCGGTTCACGCATTTCACTGCTGAAGAAAGTTGGACACCAGTTAAGAATTGTGAACGTTTGATTTTTGATTGGAAAAACATTTTTATTATTCTCATATTTGTCGCTCGTATGAAATATGTAAAGTAGGTAACCAGGCAGGGCAAGAAATACCAACGCAAATGATTTGAAACACGCCACCGGTTTCTTGGATACTATAATAAAAAAAGAAATAAATAGCCCACGCATTAATTTTGTGCTCAGAGCAATGTTGGTAAGTTTTTTAAATTGGTCGTATAAAAAGTTTTTGATTCGACCTGTTTTGCTGCACGTTTTAAGTAATCATTCCTTTTCACAGCAAATATACTTATTTATATTTAGATCTATACGAAAGTAAAATAATTTTAAGAATTCTCATATTTATTAGGGGTTTCTCGTAGAAAAAGAAAGTTATCTATTGTGTTTTGGGCCCGAGCTGGCCCGCTTTAACCGGGCTGGAAAACTACGTTCTACCCATGCACCGACAGCTGCACGTGTTTGTATTCAAGATGGCGGATGATTAGAAATTAGAAATACTGCCCTGGTTTCGGAAAAGAAAAATCAAACCGTGCATTTGCATGACCATTGTCATATAGAGTGCCATTAATTTTGGATCGTTATAAGAATATACCCAAAATAACATTCGTATAACGCGGCAGGTTAAAAAATGCTTTCCAATTAAAGATAAAATGACTACAAGCAAAACATTTACCATAGCAGATAAACCTATCTCCGATAAACAAACTATCGCAAACGCTTCCTGCAATTATTTTACGCGTGCCACCTCGATGGTTAATCCGCCACAACTGAACTTCACAGACTCTGTTTGGTCGCAGACCGATACCACGAACGAACTCCAAGCTAAAGAAACCCAGAAAACCAACTATTTCGCTTTAATACCACGTGTTATAAATTAAGAAGTATTAAGAGCCCTAAAGTCAACCACCGGCTCCAAAGCCGCTGGTGTGCATAATATCGCTCCCAAGCTAGTCAAAGATATTATACAGAAGAGATTGCATCACCATTAACCACACTTATCAACCGTTGCTTGACTTGCGGACTTTTTCGCCCAACAGCTGAAAAAGCTGCCAAGATAACACCAATTTATAAGTCCGAAGATAAGACGGCCCTTGACAACCACCGACCCATTTCAGTATTACCAGTGTTTTCGAAGGTTATAGAAAGAATCGTTTACAATCGCTTGTGATACTACCTCGAAAAAAATAAACTTCTCCGTGCAGACAGGAGCAGTTTTTCTCGATATACGAAAGGCTTTTTATACCGTGAATCACGCATGACTCCTCAATAAACTATGTGACTTGTACACACTATATAACTTGTACATATATGTTGTATCATCATCATTTTTTTCCTTGATGAGAACTGTAGCTTAGTCGAAACGCTGAAAATTGTATTTTTTACATTTATGATTTATATACAGAGTTTCTATTTCGAATGCTGGGAAGCAATGTCAAATGTCTTGCTATATCCTTTAACAGCAATAGTTAACAGTCGAATACAGAGTACTGATGTGTGGAACTCATCAGTATTGGATACTATTCTACTGCATGGAAATAGCCTTTATATACCTTTTTAAGTAATTCAGTTAATGAAGACTTACTACTATTAACTGATGTACGGTACCTGAATTGGTTTCTCTTGATGAAGTAATATACCGTTTTCAATATAGTCAGTCATTTGCTGGTGATGTATTGTGATGTATTTATGATGTATTTACTTTTTTCAGGTATAACGCTACAAAAATCTTTGTATAGTAGGCACATCAGCAGAATTTTCTTGTTAGTTCAATTAGGCATCTCCATTTATATTTAACAGTTTTTTACATCATGATAAACTGATGTTAGTTAACCTCTGCTTAGTTTGACCCAGCCAAGTTGGTCTTTAACCCAAATACTTGCAGAGACATTACTCACTTTTGTTTTTTTCTGACAATATTGTCGAGATTAATATAAGATAGACGGGAGTGAGTTAAACGATGTGCTTCTGAATGTCGAACAACATTTAGGTTCACAACGCTTCTACTTTATCATAATTTTATCGCTACTCTGGTTTTGAATAAATGAAAGTAATCACCAAACAAAGATTAACTTTCACGATCTAACGTTTCGACATTCCGGTCTAGTGTCTTGAAAGTCAAGTCCTTATATACTCTCAAAATGACGTCATCTATCAATCAGATGTAAATATTCTTTTAGCGAATGGCTTCCGATTTTCGTCATCCCTACTTAGGGCACAAAGACTCGCATTAAAACGCCAGGCTTCTAAACAACGCCTTTGTCCATAACGATCACTAGTGGTATACGTGGCATATCATTGGTGTTTCCTGTAATCTGATTGGTTCTTAGCAGAATAATTTCAGCACGAACCAATTTCATGCATATAAGGTTGATTTCAAAATTGCTTACCGGTGCGATAGTTGAACTGTTGTCACAGAATAAATTTTTTTAATAATGGGAAAAATTCGGAATTACTAGCTAAATATGCTCCGAAACTATGCACTGCAAAAATTACAAAAGCTCGAAAAGGTAAGTCTTAGGGAAAATATCTGATTTGATTGAGATTGATTTGTTCTCTTTAAAACTACAGTACTGTCCAATGCGGTTGCGGTTCGGTTGCAGTCGACCGATAAAAACTGAAGACGACTGCAATGGAAAAAATACGACTGCGGTTGCCGTTCGCTTCGCTATTTTAATTATATATAAGTATATTCAAATATATAACTATACAACTATACATATAATATATTTTCTAATATATTTAATAATATTCACGAACATTCACTTCCTATTCGATCACAAGACTGAATATTTATGAAAATTTAAGTGGCTGCATACGTTATATATGACACACTCTGTATAATATAATTACTATAAAACCATAAATATAACTGCGACTATAACTATACAACTATAGCCCGCTTTATGTTGATATGGTTTGAGAAAAGTTGCAAAATCATACCACGTTATTAGATGTGGAACGTGTTCATTTATGTTCATTTATTCATGTTTATAATAAAAAACAATCGCTTTACGTCATATGAATACACACACGACTGTTAATTAACACTAAGTTGTTAGCTGCTTCTAGCTATAACACTAGTCTTATGGTATTAAGTTATTATAAAAAGGAGTTTACGTTTTTGACAACGGACTGCGGTTAAATATAGTTTCATCTTCCATTCGAAAACATTTTATTTATGCATCTTGTTTAATAAACAAGTAACGTTCCGTAGTTGTCTTGAGTGTGAAAGGTAATCCAACCACAGCATGCACCTTATCATGCATACATAGTATTATAATATAACGGTTTCACTTTTAAACATGCAGCGAGAAAGAGTAAATATTTTGCTTTCCAAGACGCCACTCCTACGAAGAACAAAATGATCAAACACTCTCAGTTCAAGCACTAACTTCGAATATGAAAAGTCCGTAGCCATATGTTCAGTGTGCATTATATTATAGCCATATGTCCATTGTGCATTATAAACTTCTCTCTAAGACTACTCGAAGACAAAAATGTATAAACCAAAAATATAGAATATACTCATACCAATTCCAAAAGATCTGAGCATTATATTATTGAAGTCCTGTCCAACGCAATTTAAGATACTTAGGCGTCCACGTATAAACAGCAAAACTATTCGAAAAATGCTAAAATCACTTGAGCCTGCAGTATCTTTTAATTCATAGAAAAATGAATTTAATCCTCAATAAATTACAAGGATGGCATTCAGGTTAGATTTAGGTTTTACAGACAAAGCATTCCATGGAGGCTGATCTAAAGAAGATTGGATGAGGTGTCGAAGCCAGAGCGGAGATAAAACGAATAACTTATGAATGCAAAACGAATCAGTATTTCAGGCTTTGTTAAATAAAAAGCAGTGAAAGCATTTGTACTAGCAATTATTGATTGATCCAGGCCGTAAATTAATTCTGAAGATTCTTTATCAAGTGCAATCAGGATATCATATTCAACTATAAATGTGCCGGAATATTTTTAAATATTTTAAAATTCCAGCAAAATTTAACTTTTTTTTAAAATAGATTTAATTTGAGCCAATTCACCTTCAAACTAGGAGTCGATTTTTTGGGAACTTCCAGGATAATCCGAGATCAACATACCTTTAAAAAGCTTTAAAATGGCAGTTTTTCACCCAAACCAATGTTTAATATATATTCATTCGCAAGTTTGCTAGTTACCAATTTTAACTCGTTTTGGACCCGTGCACGGCTATTCCAAACAACTAAAAAGCATCTACGAAATCACATAACCAACTGAGCTAAAACAAGATTTGTGCCAACCCCCCACACAACCTCCTGGACCATCCGCCATTCATTTCAATCACGCTCATTTTATATTTTTAGTGCACATTACCTTCTTTTACTCTATTATCATGGCAACCTTTTTTCTCTATTACCATGCATGGCAACCTTTTTCTCTATTATTACCATGGCAACATATTTTCTCGATTGCCAAGGCAACCTAACAAAATAGGAGTGGTGATATAAGCAATTTCAGAATATTAAAGCTTTAGTTATCAATAATTAATTTATTTATAAGTTAATGTATTGAAGTTATTGAGTATATACTCAGGAAAAAATTACTTCCCTTTTGCATCCAGAAACATGGTACTGCTATGGCCACCAAAATGGCACCCTCATCCACCATCTTCATGGGTGCACTGGAGGACTCTTTACTTTCATCTGCACCGAACCATAAATATCCGCTCTCCTGTGGAAAAGATACAATGATAATATATTTTTACTTTGGACACACGGAGAGGATGCATTTGAAACATTTACCATACATCTAAATACATTTAACCCAACCATCAAATTCGAGGCAACATACCCCACAAAAAGTGTCAACTTCCTTGACACAATAGTATTATAATTCATAACCTCTCAAAAAAGGTTATATGTGCCAAATCATCCAGTCGTGGTTTATCAAAGACACAAAAATCTAAAGGAACACTTTGTACGCACCAAACACATCTAACCATCAAATCACAATACCACAACACACCACCTACAACCATAAGAAACCTTAACACGAAACCCTCCCCTTGTAAAAAAACCTTAAGTAATACCACACATTATACCTTACCTCATCAACTAAACCAATGGGCCATCCAAAATCACCTTTCACCAAAGATTAAATAATTCCCCCACCCAGACACAACTCACAGAACCAACTCCGTCAAGTGACAACCAACACATCGAAAAAACACACCCACAGAGATCACATAGGAGTTATGCAACAGACTGCAAACAACCACTTTCTAAACACTCATTATAAACAAACAATCCTCACTTCAGAGCATCCCACGGCAAGAACACAACCAGCTGGACCCCTTGGACAGGGGTCGGGTCGCAGCTCCTCGCAAGAATGATTTTCATTGGTTGAACTTTACAATTACTGTTTCACCCAATAGCAGAGCTTCGTTATAGAGCAGCATTATCCAGTTGGACAAAAGCTTCCGAGCACTGCGACATCAGCACAACCTTGTAACAAATAAATAATTGGGACCCCATACCACATAACTATATCCATATGCACAAAAAATAATTTTATTGATGGCATGGAGGGCAGACAACCGCCAGGCCCCGAAGACATAAGCAGGGAACTACCAGTGAACTGAAATAAGACTCGAACGCTCACTCTGTCGAAAGTTTGAAGCCAAGATGGCGGACACTGAAGCTTTTCTTGTAGCTATGATCCAGGCCTCCACGCGGAAATTTCGTAGGTAAAATGGCAGCAATTTTTATTTTTCCTTTTTTTCCTTTGAAATTTCCGTGCCAGAAGCCTGGATCATCATACCTACAAGAAAGGCTTCATGATCCGCCATCTTGAATTCACTCGGTCTTACTAATAAACGACAACAACCGTCAGGCGTCAACAACCAACAACAAGCTCAAAAATACTGACAGAAAGCTTATAATCATCGATAACGATGTAATAGTCGCTAATATTGTGTCTCTTAGACCTTATTTTCACAATAACAGTAATAATAAAATTATTGCGAATTTCGGGCACGTCTTGTTGACTGAGCTATACCATAGACAGCCCAGGAAGCATGCGAAAATTATGTATGGATTGAATTATGAATTCAGGAAAACTATCACAGTTCTGTTTTTAACATTTTTTTTAGTTTTCATCAGTTTACATCGTATACGTACTTAGTATACAATATATAGTATATAAACATTGACATTGTATACATAATTTTCGCATGCTTCCTGGGCTGCTATGGCTATACTATATAATTCCTAGAGGACTTGCTCTTGATCAGAAAGTGAAGCAAAAAACATGGCGAACTTTGAGCTTTGTGATGTCACCTGGTCCCCTTTCCCATGGTAATCACCACTGACATACCGCCATCCGAATTCGAAAAACCTCTGGTCTCCCTCCTGGTTTTTACGAAAATATTTTTGATTTTCGGAATATATTTTTTCGTATTTCATGCTCAAAAAAAGATAAAATTATTTCTCCTTTTCCCTGTTGAAAAGGTAAATGGAGAAGTGGCTTCTTGCTCTGCATAATTATGACGTAGGGGATGACTTTATTCACTTCTCGGGGAAGCTATTTTTGCCTCAGGTGAGCTTGTTTTCAAACTCTCCATCCAGTACAGCTAGCCAAGGGGTCAGTCTTGCTATGGCTCAAATAAGTGCTCCATTACATAGAAAGTTCAATGCAAAATTTTCCATAAACGAGAATAAAACATAGGACAATAAGTTTCTTGTCTCTCTGACCCTTTCTTTGTTTCTACTTAGTCGTCACCTGTCGCTACAATGTCAAGTAATAGGTGTGAAGAACGATGGTATTTTTATGCGATCAACCCATATTGCTTGTCGCTACCACGACAAGTGGTAACAAAAGGTGTAACTAGGACGATAATTTGGGGAGGGGGTGTTTATTCATATATTCGGTTCCGTCTGACGAATTAATTAATTGTAAACGTAATAGGTTGCCCTAGAAATCCGTCGGGCTTCTGAATATATGAATAAACGAGGGGGGGGGGGGCGTTCAATTATTGTTCTATAGTTACGCCGCCAACAAGTGGCCATCTATAAGACTAAAGCCCCGTTTACACTACGCGCTTTGACCTGGCCTTGACCAGGCCTACGCCTATATTAGTATATGTGAACGTTGTTTATCCGGCCTGGACAAAATCCAGGCCGACAGTAAAAGGTGGCCCGGACCTGACCTGGAGCCAGTGAACTCAAATAAGACTGGAACGCTCACTCCCTGACTTTCCCTCATTAATGAGTGAAGCCAAGATCCACCCATATAAACAGCCCCTTAGTCATAAAATATTCACAATAATGTACTGCATCGTATAATATATATTATATACAATTCTCTGGTCGATCTGCATGTTGAAAGCCTTGGTATCCAAAGCATTTCCGCTAATTTTTTATGCTATATTGGCTGCTTCAACAAGCATTCACCCATGTTCCGATGGCACTTTTTTCCACACATTTACTGAACAATGTATGATTGTGAAACATATTTGTTAATTAATCATCTTGCAGTTCTAACATCCATGGGGACTCAAAGTTGCTATGCAATGAACTTTATTTGCATGTAAAACGATTTGTGGTCTTTGTCTGTTGGAATTTGACACTCTAGAGGTATGGTTGACAAAGGGGCAGTTTGGCCAATAATGATAAAGGCACAACAGAAATGGGAGAAGGCCCCGCGAAAATTACTGTTGTCCTGGAAAACAACAAAATTCTCGGGAAAGCCTTTGTTATGAAGAATTTGGTCTTTAATCGATTGCTGACCTGCGCCATTAGCACCATTACAGTCGTCTTCGCCAATGACTCACAGCATAGGCATCAGTAGGGCTGGCAATTAGGTGACCTAATGTGTTCACCTAAAGCATGATAGCAGAATTTGTACTGTTTCTATAATAACAAAGAAAAGAAACACACAATGGTGTATTAACATTACGATTGAAATTTGATAAACGTCGTGATAAGTCGAAAATAATTCTACGTAGATTGAAAAACACATCAAATTTTAACTTAGTTGTTTTAACAATCTTTTTTACAAAGAATTAGAAGCATTGGAAATATTAAAATTAATGTACTCACGATGTTTGCTACCATTCCTATTCTTTGCGTTCTAAGGTTGCGTACAACGCTGAATACGTCAACAATGCTCTCCAACTTCATTCTCTCCAGCGCGATGTATATCGTTATGAATGTTCCGACCCTGCCACTACCGTCGCTATAGAAAAGAAGCTTTCTGTGTAAGATTCTGTGGTTTCGGGAAACACTATTTTTTGTGCACATGGGCTAAAATAGTTTAGATAACAAGATAACTTTATCATGGGTAACAAGCAGCAGAAATTGGTTGGATAGGAACTTCTGTAGGCCTAAATTGTTACTTCAGGGTCTGTTAATGCAATTTGCAGAGTTGCCATTTTAGGGGACCTGGCCGGAAAGAGGTAACGTTTGGGAATCTCGTGATCTTTTAAGGGTAATTACAGAGCCTTGCAGACAGCACATTACCTCAAATATTTATATTTTCACCGCGGTAAACGAATTTCATTGCATTTCAAGCGGCGGCTGTTGCACAATCCGAGAACATGAGAATTATTACAGTTACAGCGCTTACCTGCAATGAACCAATGTTAGGCCATTTCCTGTCCGTTGCTCTAATTTCACCACTTCTTTCAAAAAGTTTAACAAGTGAGAAACACTGGCAGGTACACCATGATCGGACCATTGAACAAAATTTAGATGATATAATTTACGCACTTCTCCATTCTGAAAACCAATGGAAGGAAACAAAGTTAAATTTAAAAATGGATTATTTATTTTTAAATCGATTACCTAAAAAAGTGAAAATTTCGAATCAAACAAATGCCCTCAAGCAATACACTAGCGTGTTGTATTTATACTCTTTAACTCTATCGTATTCGTTATTTAGTGAATGACACTAACAATAATTGAAGAATGAATAGCATTGCATATGTCACGATTCATCGGCTGAAAATATTACGTAAATTTTTCTGCGAGTATACACGAGAAACAAAATGTCTTTACCGATGCATGACCACCGACCGTGGAAGAATTGCGACATATAAAATTGCACGCAAATTCTCAAGAGTGGTAATTGCACTTGCATGCATGTAACTAGATTTATAATCGTGCATAAACTTATAATAGTTTAGAATTTACACAACTCCTCCATTCCCCGTACAATTCAATATAGATTTCCATCTATACATGGATTGTGAACTCTATAATCGAATAAAATAAATAAATGAAAGAATACTACTTCGCTTACCTTAGTATTTGTGCATTTTAAAACTCTCTGAACATGGGAATCAAATTCTTCTTCCGACTCTATTTCTATCATCAATAATCCAAAAATGATGTATTCTTCGCCTTCAGACGGCCAGTATTGTAAAAACTGAAACTGAAAGATTCATCAAATTTTAAGTGATGCATTTAATTAAGTGATGCAACAGAAGAACTGAATGTTGAACTAGGTGTGAATTCGGTCATCATCCGGTGCAGAGAGCAAATAGTTCTGTGCCAACGTTCCATACAAATTTGATTTTAGGAAAAAGTTAAATGATAACAAAGGGTAATGCGAACAAATTTTGTACCTCCTCATTCTCTTCTACATTTACTAACATTACTAAAACATAACATTCGTATTCCCAAATCATACGCCAGAAATCCTCTATTGACTCTTTAATGGGAGCCTGCGTAGCAATAAATATTTCTCTATTTCGATATCCCTGCAATAACAAATATGACGTCATTCAGGTATGCTTTCAATCGTTATGAAATTGCAATTTACACCTCGATCTGGGTCAAAGTAATGAACTTACGTCTATAAACGATGCATTTATATAATCAGATCCTTTTTCATTTGGATAAGGCCAAAGCTTGATTCTAGTACTATCATCTGCAACGAAAATTATAAAAAATTATGCATTCCCATCATATTTATAATGTGTATGATTCATATCTTCATGTAGCCACTGTTCCTGTAGGGAGAGGGTAAACAGACTAAATTTAGCCTTCTTCAACATGCCAGTTTCTCCGTAGCTTATCGTTAGGCTGATTTAGCACGAGATCGAGAATGTAAAAGACGACGCAAAAATAGCGAATAAAATGGCGAATAAATGGCGTGATGCGCCCATTAGCCATTTAATAATCGAGCAGGGTACTGGGTCTAGTTGCGAACCGCAAAGCATCTATGGACTGTTTGGAGGGACAAGTTGACAGTGGGAATTTGAAGCATTTGAAATGCTAAATTGAATTGAATTTAAATTGAATGCTTTCTTGAGCACTTACATTGATACGTAAATTCTCGATATTTCGTTTGAAAATAATGAAATGATTTGAGTAACTCATTTAACTTACACGGCAGAATTGAATTATGTCGATTCTTCTTCTGATTTTCCGGCATGAGACCATTGACACATGTTTCTTTTTCAACCACTGATATAGCAGCTAAATTCTAGACAAAGTAGTGTCCATAAACATTATAGATGGAAACGCTGGGAACTCGGATACATCATACAGTCTCAAAGTCGGGACAGCGTACCAGGGTAAACGATTTAAAATCACGGGCTCACGGCTACGCATGGGGGCATGGTAAACGGAGTGACCTGGCCTCAAACATATAAGGCGAAACTAGAATGATGATAGACTAGAATAGGATGATATTGCTAATGCAAGATGAGACAATTTAAAAACGAAAGTATTAAAAGAATAATTGAAAACATTTTAAAATCAAGAAGCTAGTCCAACATAATTTTTTCAATCTCAGACTTTCCTCTTAAAACTTAAAGCAGCTAATTTGTGGGACGTTAGCTAGCGCGCGAAGCATTACTGGTAAATGACACTCCCTAGTTCTATGTTTTGACTATAGCTTTGCCATCTTGGTAATATCGGTTGTATTAAACTGTATTACTTTGAAGCTTGAAAGGACGTTCATTGGTCAATAATTTCGCGACATTTCCACAATTATTAGGCATAAATGTAAAGAAAGTAAAATCCTGCATGTGTAAAACACAAGTGATTTGTGAAGAGGGAAGCGCAAGCGTGTGTGTATTATTTTTTAGTTTAAGAAGAAGTTTAGATCATTAATTACAACGGAAGGTGTAAAGTAGATTTACTAACTTCGAATTCTCTAGAAAATACATCATCATCTTGCTCAAGCGCGCGTAACCTTTCCATGAATTCTGGAACTGAGATTTCTGTGTCACTGCAAACTGATGCCTCGAGAATTGCCTCGTAAATAAAGCTGTACTGTGCCTAAAATTGTGGAATTTTTTAAAGACATGATAATATCACCCAATAGGATATACCATGATCATTCTGCCATATTTACTTGGAAAGAACTGCTATGCAGTTTCCAAATGCACCACAATAAGGTGATTTAACATGACATAGGGCCATGATAAAGTACTTTATCAATAGTTTGCTTTTTATCGCGATCACGACTACAGTGAAAAAAATGTTAGGTAGGCCTGCTAAATATAAATTTAGCAATATGCTCCACCACCCACCGTGTGATATCCTATATCAGAATATGGCAGTTTTGTTGAAGCAATGTACAGTTGCTGCAGAAGCATTAATTATTGATTGCCAAAGCGATATGCCTCGTTTCTAAGGGATAAGCTTTTTGGTTGCAGTTCCCAAAAACTGCCTTAATTATTGTGCATGCATTCTCAAACTCACTATCATCTGTCGTCGCTGCGACGTCGGAATGTCTGGCCATGGCACATACCTCAGTTTGAACCATTGTACTCCTTTGTGTGCGCATGTGAGAAACGAATTTGTAAATATCCACCACTCCTTCATCTCTCATCTGGTCGAGCAACCCATCTAATGCGATAAACGTGCCGGTTCTTCCAACGCCCGCACTAAAATGTTAAGCAGTATACATAGTGTAGAAAAAAAATTACCGCACAACGGGGGAGGGGTTTGTTTTGACCTAATCGGCAAATTTGTTCACGTTTTTCAGGCTAAGCCAATCAGACTGTCTAAATTGTTAATACTTCATGTAAAATGGTATATGATGTAGTCAATTTTGATTGCGTTAAGGCATATTTAGACCATTCATCCAAAATGCTTTCTAAGTGCAAAATTGAGTGCAAGTGCAAAATTTTTAAAACAATGTTTTTTTTTAAATTGTAAAAGAAACAGAATAGTTTAATGCCCCTTACTGTATCCGGGCAATTGTCATACCTGCAGTGAACGACAATTTTTCCTGTAGTGACGTGGAAGTAATTTTTAACGCGTTTGATGAATGCCAGCAGTCGAGATGGATGAACAGGAACTCCGTGGTCTGGCCAGGCGGTATAGTGAAACTGTGTTACGTCTCGTGTAAGTTCTGTGTTATTGTTCTGCAAACAATTAATGTGAAACGTGACTTTTAAAGAAGGGATGACCGCTTTCTTTATATCCGTTTGTGGTGGAAATTCTTTCTGGCTCATACTACCCTAGCTTTCTTTTTCTGTTATGGTTCACTTCCCATTCATTTACCTTTTATAGACATATTGAGAAAAAAGTATTGCATCTTTTAAAAAGATGTACTTGTTATTTCGCGCATCTACACTTACTTGCTGCAACTGGAACTTTCTAATAGTATAATCCGTAAGTTCCCATTCTTCAATCGGATTTACAGTCAGTGATCCAAAGAGTTCAGCTTCGGTCACAGGCCAGTATTTTTGACACTTAACCTAGTGTGAAAATCATAAGGCGAATACTCAGACTATTACTCTTCTGAAAGCTTTTTTTTCAACATAATGAATTTTCATGTAACTTTCCTAACCTTCCCCTTTTCTACAAGATTGGTAACCATAACAATTGCAGAGCAATTTTGCTCCCAAACCATTCTCCAAAAATCATTAAATGTCGATGCAGCTGGTCCTAAAATACATACACTTTTAATTATTAATCAGCTGCGATAAGTGCATGATATGGCTGTATTCAAAGTCAACGATTTGTTATTGACCATACCTTGAGTTGCAATGAACTTTTCAGGACAATTATATCCCTTTGAAAATTTGAAAGGTTGTTTTAATCCCAAATTATGCATTATTATGATAAAATGCATACAACTCTACATTACTCCAACCTCCACCACCTAATCTCTCACTATCTATGATGTCACCTGATATCCCACCACCACCACCCAGTGCCACCTCCTGACCTAAACATCCCTGCGCTACCTCACACACCATATTGCCAACTATTTATCATTGCAGTTGTCATTTAACGTCCCGCGATATTCTGCTACGGTTATGTTTGATTGTTTTGAGTACACATTTATAAAATTTCTTCGTTCAATATGACCTATACTTTCCAGTAAGCATGTTACAGTGAAGTAAGCGAAAAGTAGACCAGTCAATCATGCTTTGCCTGCAACTATATCAGACTTTATACTTTATAACTTTTTTAAAAATACACATAGGTGTCACACAATGTACTTTTACCCAACTATTATAATCAATACTTACGTCGATGTAATTAGCATTGATATAGTCGGATCCATTATCCCCTAAATTGGATAGGCAGACACGTGTATGGTCATCTAAATGCAAAAAAGTTCACAAAGAAAATTACAAATCTTGTGGCAATTATGGCAATTAGTAGTGACGATGAATATAAGAATAAACGAGACAACTACAAGGCTAGGTTAAAGTGTCTTTAAGGCGAATAACAAAACATTGAAAAACTTTAAAACATTACGATTGCAGAAAGACTGCAGAACAAAGTGTGAACAACTTGTGCTAGAGTTGAAGTTCATAAATAGTAAATCTCAAGTAGTCGCATCAATAATAATTTGAGAGTGTACAGTAATAGGATTCCAAAATCGGGTACGTCACACACGAAATCGAGGCGAGACGAGAGACGTAGTCTATCCAAGATGGTGTCAAAGTCTAAAATCGAATAGCATGCAAAACCACGTTGGACACCGCACGAGTCAGAATTAGAATGCGTTCTCCTTCGTCGAACGCAATAAATAGCTAGAAATTGAACTAAAGTGCAGAAACCAAAATGAAGCAGCTCATTTTCTATGTAAATATTGTCGACTTTTGGGGCGTTAACAGCGCAAATGCATCAAACGTGAAAAGGTTAAGACATTGACGCTCTTCATAGTGCATGTATGTACTTACATGTAACAATATTTGCATAGCGGTTCTTCGACTTGTTTACAGGCTTCTTACATTCTTCATAGGAGTAGTATATTTCCGTATCAATTGACTGCGATGAAAAAATTATTTTAATAGCTACCACAATTTATCAGTAAAAAAACTTTATAATATTATACCACAGATAGATCTAGTAAGTAAAGTAATGATAACAGTAGCTCGTATTTATCAAAAGATTCATAAATATGTGATAAAGATATTATGTATATATCTCGCCATTTTTCTGTTAACATTTAATCATACGTTAAGTCAGGTGAAATTAAAGATCAACAACGTACAAATCAATCAAAAAAATTTTGAAATTATTTATTATTCAGGTTTCCTATTGGACAAGCACAGGACTTATTCAGTGGGGTAAAGGTACCAGTAGTTTTTAAAAGATCCAGTATGGAGGTTGTAACAAAAACTAAAGAGATGAGCCTGGTTAGGTAGGGCTTTAGGGACTGTGAAAAAAACGGCAGACCTATAAATTACATCATGAGACCTATAGGAATATATATAATGGGATTGATATTTAAATGCAAATGCAACTGACGTTTACGCAAAGTATGCTGTCGGCATGTCGCGCACATCCTTCATCTGATGTGGTATTAATTCGTTTATACCGCAAGTGAAAAGGTAAAAACATGTACATTTTTTTAAATCTAATACGAAAGAAGCTTTATTGATTTCTTCAACGTATGATTTGTATGATAGCTCGATCCTTTTAAAATATTCTAGTCGTGTAGTTTTTCAGCAGTCACAGCTCTTATAGCTTTATATGTCGTTAATAATTATCACCGCAAATCCAGCTTATTTTTGTCCGAGATTTCAGATTTCTTTGATAATTTTTGTGAAACTATATATATAACTCTTGTCACTTTGAGGTAGCATGGACGAAAGAGAACTGTGGAATACCTCGAAGAGCTGTCAAGCGCTGATTAAAATGATAGAAACTGATGAAAAGTGTAGATTGCTGATTTGTGTGTGTAATATCAAGTGTACGTGAAGAATCATCTGAATGATTGTCGCAAGGTTTCGAAGATCAATCATTGTAAACAAGTGATACGTACATAGTTTTCCCTGAAATTCCTTGTTAAATAAATGCAGACACGTGGGTTAAATCATCCTAATTTTCTTAATTGGAATTAATATTACTTGTCAGAAATTCTCCTCGATAAGAACCTAATCAAAGTCCCATGAAGAAAGCCCAATATAGCTTTCATGACACATGAGCAAATTACTGAGATGGGACGAACAGCAGCCTATTGAAGAGATTAGTTAGAAACGGTTATAGCTAGCGGGGGAAGACTTTGAAGAAAGTCTTTGTATACCTTAAATTCTTCAGCAAAACCTTTGTTTCCATTTTTCCGATGGTCCGTGCAATATTCCAACAGATTCAACACGGGAATCGGTTTAGTTGATCCGGAAAGTACTTTCAGCGGCACTAAAAGTGTTGAAAAACAGCATTAATTACATCACGCTGCGCAAACAGGTTTTTCGACTAATTATTCGGGCAAGTAGATTATTGGCTTCTAATTATTTAAAGAGTCGGTAAAAAAAATGCTAATTGGTGATTATTTGCAAGGGTGCGAAATAATTTCGCTTAAAATAAATAATTATGCTACGTTTAGGGCATTTTCGCACCAATAATGCGGAGTTAGGATATGAATTATTCATTTAGAATCTTATTTATCGAAATTAGTGTAGTATTCATAAGAAGTGTGCTCGCGTGACATATATTGTGGTAATCAGAATCTGAAAAAGGTTCTTAAAACACATAAGATTTCGAAATAAATGCAATATAAAACTGAAAATTAATAGTATAATTATTCTGAATGCCCAGATTTATGTTAATAATAGGCCAACAACATCAAATTATGGATAATTAGCAATTTTAATATTGCTGAATATTGTGGATTGAAAAATGAGACAAACACGAACTTTTGAATTCTGATAAAACTCACAAGAAAATTTCACTTAATAGTGCGTGCATAATTTAATCAGTATCCCCAGTGCGCATATAATGAAATCAAGCAAGTGTAATATTATGAGGGATGATACCTCAAGCTAGGGCAATATTGGGTGGCCTAAGTGAAACCATTATCATCATGATTCAGCCTGGAGAATTAATCACTTTCTTACTCATTAAACGTTCATAGCACGTCTCTCAAAATCAATTTCCTCAACATAAATATTGAAAACAGCATAAAATATTAATTGTCGGCCATGGACCCTAACAGAAGCTGACCGCTTGCGGCTTTAATAGACGGACAAATTATGTATACTTTTCCTTTTTGCGAATTTTTTGGTTTAACAAGATCATTGGATTTGAGAAGCGTTTTGTGAACCCTTCCATTAACAACTTTTGTTCCTTGTATTGAATTTACAATTGTCTGTTGTTTTAGCACGTTACAGCAAATTACTGTATTAAATTAGGTGAATAGTTGAACGTTGCAATAATCATGATTTATTTCAGAAACAAGGTTTACATTTAATAGTTCATTAAGTTCGGTTATGTTTCAAACAAACAGTTATATACATATATATTCAAGGAAAGTAACAATCAGTTTATACGGCTATAAAACGTGACAAAATGAGACAAAAGGATGGATCTTCCGTCGTAAAAACTTAGTCATAAAAAATTCATGTCACATAGCTTATTACTTAGGCACGTTGCAGTCATTTGCATTGCAGCTGCATCGCCTCTTCTTTCAATTACAAGTTTTCATTTAATGTCTATATACTTGCCCAAAAAATGTTACAGCTTATGCATTTAAATATTTAGAATCGTGAAAAGATATATATACTTTGCTATAGCTACACAAAAGCAAATTTAGGGCTTCGGCTATTCAATTTAGCTAATACAATATTTTCATTCTTTATTTTGTAGCGAGTCGTTACTACTTATTTTATCTCTCCTAAATGAACTACATTTAAATAAGACGTGAAAGTCTATATGCAAGAACAAATGGATTTTCTTACATCACCACTCAATGCGTTTTGCTCGGCGCATTGTTGTTGGCACTGAAATAAGTCGTACATGTTCCATCCGCTTTAATTACTGCAATGCTCAGTACCGAAATAATTACCTTGTTATTAATGTTTTTAGAATAAAGGGGGAAATAATGCCTAAAAGAGGCTGTTGAGAGTAACTTTGGTATCTAGGTCGAAAATCTAGCTCTCTGCGTAAGAATACAAAAACAATGTCGCAAAACTGTTTTAATTTAGTCAATCCCCTAAAGGTCCGCGCCTGTCCTAGCCCGCGCGATTCCACTATGACGCACTGAGCTACGTTTTTTAAACTGCCTGAAGTATTTATAGAATTTTAACTAAAGTTAGAATTTACTTTTCCGTATACCAGGGAAATGCGAGGGAAGAATACATTCATTTTTCTTTATGTTCACCATCGAACAGGGTTTAGCCTAACACAAAACGCTATCTCGAGTCCATCCTGTTAAATCCACACACGACAAAATCATAATGATATACACCTTGAACGGAGTTTCCTTTCTTCTCTGGCCTGAGATATTTCTCGCTACCAGGCGAGTCGCTGCTCAGGTGATCCGACGGTGATGACATGTGCGTGTGACCGTTTTCTCTCGTGATGAGCACGTTAGGAGCACCACGCGTACCTTGGCCAGAGCGTCGCTGATTTCGTTGCCGTTTCCTGTGCAGAGGAAAGATGCATGCGTTTAAATGCTGATCCTACATTTTGTTAACGCTATGAGGGAATATTAATAATTTATTGGGTATAATGGAACAGAAATCAGCTTATTTAATAGTAGGTTTTCAAGTTCAATTGTTCCAGAATATGATTGGTTAAACGTACGTCACGGGAAAGGCAATAAATCCGACTGTTCACCGTTTGAGCGAGGGCAAATGAATTAACCACCGGGGATTTCCACCGATTTCTTTTTTTTTCGGTTTACGAAAAGAAACGAAGAAGAAATTGATCATGAAAACTTACTGATAGAGAAAGATGAAAGGTCTACCGAAAAAACAACAAAGTACACCAATTAGAATGGGCATGAGAGTTAAATTTGAAAATCTGTTTCTGTTGAGTATTTTCACCAGTTTTTTTTCTTGAAATATGCCGTATATTAAACCGGCTGATTTCCTCAGGAAACATGTTTTGTTGACCCTAGCTCGACCACCAGTTCTACTGCAAATGTTATATTTTATATCGTAAAAGTTCTCACCTGTAATTGTATCTCACAAACATCGCCAGAATTATGATTACGAAAGCAAATATCAACACTCCAGCAATAATTCCACCGAACATTGGAACATAATCAGTCTCGTCGCTCTCCCTTGCTTGGACAATAGCTAAAGGATTAGAGAAATCATTTCACATCGTGCAAATTAAAATACAGACATTCTTATTATATATTTTCTACAAATGGTGAAACAGCTGGTAAAATTCTAGAATCTCTTCAATTTGATTAAAGCTGTGGAACCGGGCGTAATATCTGACCATGGTCAGGAATAGCGTGACCATATACGAATATTTTATCAGCAAAGCTGCTCAAATATATTAGATTGCTCTCATCCAGGTGAGACTGTTTATGTGCGTCCGACATAATCTAGCAGATTATGTAATTACCAGACTGGTCACACTGTTCAGGAATCCTTTATCTCATGTTCAAGCTAACTTGTGTTTGTTTTGTTTTTCTACTGAAAAAGTATTTTCAAGTTTTTAATTTTACATTTGAAAATATGGCCTGGGACTAATCATCACGATAAGTAAGTTTTAGTAAACTTTATAAATAGTTTTGATCATTTTGTCACCGTTAGCATTGCTGAATCTGACTACACAATCAAATCAAATCAGATGGTCGCTTCAGCTGGTGTATAAGTGAGGAGAAGAGTTAAAATTTTTAATATTTTGAAATTTTTAATATACAGTTTTGTAAAATCGCTCCTTAAATATAGAGACTGATTTAAACAGATTGTTAGAAAAACTAGTTGCAAACTTAAGTCCTGTGCCCGGCCTTTGTTCATCTGTGCCCGCCCTTCATGTTGGTAGCCTGAGCGCTAAGGAAATTGGTCAATAAATCGACTGTAGTGTAAGGGACTAATCGAATGCCTCTACTGCATGAGGAACTATAGCACTGACCATCGAATAGAAAATATCGCTGGATTACGATATGAATGCTGCGAAATCAGTTTGCAAGTTTTATTATTTCTCTCGCTTATCTTACCTGACGATATTTCCTTCATTTCACTTAAGAACACTTGGTGTTTTGATCGCGCTTGTACCTATAAGCAATTAATTGCTTTAAATACAACATCTGTAAAAAACTTGGTCGCATGTCGGCAACAATTGACGGATTTTAGGTGAGATTTTTTATATTTCAGAGTGAGCTATATGCTGTATGAGCTCTATTCTGAATAATTCTTTACGAATTAAAGCCAGTAACAAGTTATTTCCATTTTCCTTGCGTACGTATAAAAATAAATACATACCTTCACTTTGTATAATTTACCAGATGGCAGTCCATTGACTCTTGCTGACAAAGTTTCGTTATTTAAGCCAGACCTTATATGCATGAACTTCCAATTTTCATTCGAAGTGCGATAATAAATTTTATAATCATCTATGGTAATGGAAGGAACGGAAGGTTTATTCCAAGAGATGGTAAAACTGCCTTCTGTCGTGCTGTCGATGTTCATGATCAGGATACCGCTTCCTAGAACAGAAGACAATTTTTCGTGTAAGAACCGGTTGATCCGTGACAGCAAGAACATTGAGGCATATACTTAAGCGATTGACTTACTTAGTGTAGAAGAGTGAAAAAAAAAGTTTTTAAACATAAATAATACTAGAATTTCCACCCCCGAAGTCATAGGAAATGAAGGAAATGATAATTCAGTTTTGACGAGGATCTGACTTCTGATAATCTGAATGATTGTTTAATTTTTATGCTCAGATCAACAGGACAACAAAAACGGCACAAAATAAGAGACGACTAAACATAACGACAAAATATATTATAATGTAATACGATACGATACTCTGTAAGAAACTATTGTTGTAAAACCACCAATTTGTTGTCTCAGACTTTTGATCGATTTATCCAGTAAAAAAAACCTAAAAAATCGCTTTCAGTTGTTGTCTCAGACTTTTGATCGATTTATCCAGTAAAAAAAACCCTAAAAAATCGCTTTCAGTTGCTTTCATCAATAAATAACCCAATAAATGAATCCGAAGTAACCAATTAATATATCGTTTACTGTTTTCACAGTGTGTAGCTACAATGGGATGAAAAACGATGGAATGCAGCTCAGCTCAGCCTTGCCAAGGCAAGGCAAGGCAAGGCGCGCAAGGCAAGGCAACTCAACGCAATGCAACGAAACACAAAGCAACGCATCGCAGTTCAATGTAATGCGATTGATAACACATTACTTATTCCAAGTATATTTTAATGTGTCAACAAAATGTTGTATAAGTTGCGAACATCACAGTAAAATACAGTGTGGGAAAGTGAGTACAGCAGTGATTACCGTACCTTTCTTGAATTCCAAAATGTTGCTCTTCAATCCAGGTTTATCGCCATTGGCTTGTACCTCTAGCTAAAAAAAATTACCATAAACAAAGTGTAAGAACACGAAATTAGCTTATCCCATTCCCTGAGCTCTAGTGTCACTACTCAGGTTTTCCAGGATTTACTCACCTTAAAAGACATAGCAAAACAGTTTCTGCAAGAGTTTGCTAATTTACTAACACATAGAGCAAGCATGTTTTAAAAGTAATTTTTTAAATTGTTATATAATACTAGAGAAAGGACGCTTTCTACTTCATGGAATCTAACAACTCTGCTGCTTTCAAATCATAGTTTTGACAGTACCTGGACATCGTACTTCTTTTTCTTAGACAGTGTTTCGACAATCATGGTAACAGTCTCGTTTTTTAGACCACTTTTTAGTTCTTTTTCCTCTTTTTTACCACCAGTTTCATAGGACACAACGTATTTGGTAAGCTTTCCTCCGATATAAAATGGACGTTTCCAGGAAAGCATAAAACTGGAGTCGTTCAGCATATCAACAGTCAAATCTCTGGGTTGACTCGGTACTGCAATGTAGAGAAGTTACAACATAACGCAAAGCAGAGTTATTAAAAATCTCGATCCAATGTAAGCATTGTATTAAAGGTGAGATAAAATATGTTCTGCGCATTAGGCTTGCTCTCAAAAGTCGGGAAGGGTGCAACTGAAGTTCAATTTGAAAATAGCCCAAATCTCAGACCATTAAGGTATGCATTCTACACCTTACCTCCTTCAGGTGTTATAATCTTCTTTGTGATTTCTTTGCTCCACAACACCATTCCTTTATTAACTTTCGATCCTTCTTTTATGGTAACCATGTAGATAGTGTTAGGAAAAAGATCCTTTAGATCCAATACTCGTTTCGCTCCATACTCCTTAATTTCAGCCTTCCAGTCAAATTTAATATCCCTTCTTGTTCTCGATCTGTCATTTCCCCCCACAAAAATTTCTCTCTTGTCTTTATCAATCTTTCCTAGATGTTTTATTCTCCACGTTAACGTCAAAAGAACCTTTACTAAACTTCCAGCTAAATCTGGTTTGTTCCATATCAGTCGATAGACGTTCGCTGACGGGTTCGTTACATTTTGAGGTTCCGGGATTGGTGGTGCTAAAATAAATAGAGAATAAACTACTTTAAGAATGTTATGTGTATATATATATATATATATATAATTATATATATATATATATATATATATATATATATATATCGGGCTTAGTTGTGCATGGAAAATACTGCATGGTGTATGAAATACCGTTGTTGCAATGGAAGTGCTACAAAGAAATATTGCATCATTCAAAATACCTATATAATAGTAAAAGTAGTCGATTCATTTCCAAAAAAAAAATAAAATTTCCTTTCTCTAATCGCATGCTTGTACTTAAATTTGATTGGTAGATTGCAAGGTCACCGAAACAAAAGCCACTTATCGATTCAAACAAACAAGAAGTTAATTAATTTTTCCATGAATATAAGTTCATCGTTTTTTCATAATATTTTTTTTGTTTTTTGATAGTAAAATTTTGTAATATTTTGTCAATGCTTGCAACCACAATGAGTAAAAAAAACAGACTTTACACAAATGGCTGCTAGTCTTCGTCGTTTCTATACCTTGGTAGACCATTAAGTAGTATTTTTCTCTACTAAACTTCCCAGGGCCAGAACTTGTAGCTGCTTTCACTTTGAACATGTACCGCTCTTTACGTTTTAAGTTGACTTCCCTCGAGGTTTCGGAACCGCTCACGTTGATTGATTTCTCTGTCGAGGAAGCATTTGCGATTCTGTACAACAAGGTGTATCGGAGTAATTCTCCATTGGTTTCTTTTGGCGGATCCCAGGTAACCCGGACTGACGTGGTGTTAAGAAATTGAACCCTCGGTTGCCCAGGAGGACCAGGAGCTACACGTAGGAGTGAAATATGAGTTCATTCTAGCTAACAAAAACATCTTAAAAGATTAAAATGAATGATTTAGCTACTATAGAGGATACATTCAAAGTCTTTCCTCTCGGTACCAAGATTGAGATGATACTATGAGAAGACTTCTCCCAATACATGTTTGTAAGACGTGTTAGGAATTAGTATGTACTGAATATATGTAGAACTTTACGCGAACTTTCTCGACATGCAGAAATCTGTAAGATAAGATTTTTCATCTTCTTTCCAGAATGACGTTCAGAAATTACCTTTTTATAGGGTAATTCTTTCGAGGTCAGTAAATTTGAAGATATAGACTTCTAGATTTCCTAAATCTCCTTTATATAAATATTTTAGTGTGGATACTCACTTGCTGTCTTCGTTTTAAATGTATCTACTTTTGGGTCACTCTGAACATATTTATTCCAGACTTTTAGGCGAACCTCGTACGTAGTGAAGGGTTTGAGCTCTTCAATTTTCTCTGATCTTCTGTGCCCTGTCATCGTTTTATTTACCATTACAGCGTTGTTTTCTTTCGAGATACACAGTAGCTCCTGTCCTTTAATAGGGAACTGGGTGTCCCCGTGAATCTTCCATTGAATATGCACAAACCTTGAATTCGGCTCCGTAGCATATAATTCAGTAATCGACGGTTTATCTAGTAACGAGTTTAGTATTAATGCTTTTGTGATTGACTCAAACTGGCGTTTCAGGGTCCCGCCGCTTGACCTTACTGTATTTTTCGACGTGCCACCTAAACGCCGCCAAGGTCACGAGGGTGAAATAACGTTAAAATCAGGTTGGATGAAAGTTTAGATAAGTGTACGTTCAAATACGCATTTCTAAATAATATGCATAGGAAATCCATGCATACTGATAAGCGTGCGCGATCAATAATTTTCATCCTATATTAATAATGCCAAGGAAGGCATCTTCCGCTTGAGTCTGCGAAGAAATCATGTACTAAACAAATGCAAAACGTATCCATAAAAACTAGTAAAGACGTAGTAAAAATATCAAAATACAAAACAATAATTATTTTTCTATACAGCAAATAATAGGGAAAAATGAGTGGGAAATTTAATGCATTTACGTATTCCCAATACCCAATCACATTCATGCAATTATTGAAAAAAATGATGGCAACCCGTTCACAGGAAATACGTGAAAATGCATTTAAATAGCTTACTTTATTACTTGCATTGTAATTAGTTAATGAATAATTATGCTTCAGACCACTCTAGAAATGAACCATATATATTTTCAAACGACAGGACAGAGTTTCCTTTCGTGCAAAACGTCTTTCATTGCAAAAGCAATGTTTTGCCATCCCTAATTCTAGAGCATCAGCATATACTTACCAATTCTGAAAACTTTCACCTCATGAGTTGTAACTCCAACAAAATTGCGCACAAAGCACGTATACTTTCCAAAATCAGCATTTTTTAAACCATCAAGAGATGTGCTAGGTTTACTAGCAATCACACTGGACCCTTTTCTCCACTCGTATGTCGGTGTTGGATTACCAGTAGCATTGCATTTGAGAAAAACTGTATCACCTTTTAGTGCATGTTTCGAACCTGATGACTTTTGGAGGTCGATGACTGGTCTGTCTAATTAAAGAGAGCATACGACAGGTATTAAGAATAAGAATTTCATAATTTATAGTTATATATCCATTTCTAAACATAACGCAGCTGCAAATTTTGATTCTTTCAGGGCCGTAGTCAAGGGACGGGGGGGGCGAGGTTAGGTGGAAACCGTTCGTTCGTTTTCCTTCCCCGAATTTTGAAATTCGGGGAAGGAAAATTGATAGGGGGAGAACTTCAGATCGACCAGTGTCTTATGCTAACATTTTAAAATTTAATTTATTTGAAAAATAAAAACAAAAGAAAATAATTTAAATTCCAATCGTAGCAGGATCAACTGTCATGTTCTAGCAAGCGAGAATACTGCTAATTGAAAGAAAAGTGCGTCATAAACCTTCTCTTATAGATTGTAAGACAATTATACTTACAGAAGACGTTAATATAGACACTTTTGTTGGCGCTGGGAGAAATACCATTATTTGTTGTGCAGGTATAAAGTCCGTCGTCGTTTTCATTAACGTTATTCTTTCGGAAGGTGCGATCGTTACTAATGATTCTTCCATATTTATTTGTCCATTTGACTCGAGGTATAGGATAGCCCTCTGTGTCACACCAGATCACGAGATTCTCGCCCTTCGTCAAATTCGTCCTCCTAGCTGCAATTCTCTTTATCACTGGAGAAACTACGAAAAAAGCGGCTGATTGAAGAAAATTACCATAATAAATTATCATGAAAAAATTATGGATCACGAAAGGGATAAACTGTCCATTTCAACATAGTTCCTAGTTGGAGCGAACTTGGAAGCTTTTTTAGCACTTCTATCACGAGATACGTGGCTAGATTACTTAAACCAGCTCCCATTCGTTAGATCAGACATGCTGTAGGTGGTAGATGGATCTGAACACTGAGATAATTCGGCACATAATCATATATCACATGGCTTCCAAAATGGGTCAATTAAGCTATTTTTAACAAATTAAATATTAAATAAGATATCACCAAACCGACGTTTTTGCTTATTGCACTGAAAATGTCATTGTCATGTTGCGCGAAAATCTGGCTGAGAGCCAGATTTTCATTAAAATCACATTAGTGCTACTTGCGTCATTTTGCGCATTTTCGAAACGTTTTCACTCCTTTCATTATTTTGACGCCTTTTAGCAATATATTCCAACATATTGAAACATTTATAGCTTTTGCCATCAATCCATATAGGGTTTCATCTGTTTTGTCATGAAGACATCACTGAATGAAAACGCTCACAGCCTGAGACGGCCCCATTTACACTACAGTCAATTTAATGACACGGCACAGCTAAAATTCGTACCTATACCCAATTTTAGCTATATGTGCCCCATTCAAAGGCCGTGCACTGAGATAAAATGGGAACAGGTACCCAATTTAGCCATATCATGTGGTGTAAACAGGACTAAAATGCAGGCGTAATGGATTTGAGCTGTCACGCCTTTTGCCTTTAGAATTCTGAGAGTTTCAAATAACATCTTATTTATTCGCCATGTTTGTGTTTAATTAGCCTTGATTGATCTTTCACGCTAAAAAGTGCCCTGGGGACGAGTTTTCTTCCCTGACGCTAAATATGTATACAATATTATATACACAATGCATTTATCTAGTACACTTACATCGTACACGTACGCGAACTATTGCCTCTGTACCAACCCCCACATCATTATGCGGTACGCAAGAATATTTCCCTCTTTGGCTTGGTTTAATGTTTCTGATGTAGAACTCTCCCTTAGTGTTATTTTGAACCTTTACAAACTCTGTCTTTACGCCGACTTCACTGTAGTGGTATAAATTGAATATCGGAGGTGGTTTAGAACATGCTTCACAAACAATCTTGAGATCTTCGCCCCTTTCCAACGTGTCACTTTTTGCATCCGTTTTGATTTTCGTACCAAATGGTGTGTCTTGAGATTTAAAAAAATTGTCAAAATTTCACAGGGCAATATATTTTTTTTTTTAATAAGCGCATATGATTCAGGTGTATATGAACCATTCATGGTGCTACTCTGAACTATCAGCCGAGTAAGCTGAAAAACTAGCTTCACCACGGCGGATATCGACCCCGAGTCTCGACCTATATACTAGTTCAGTTGGAAGAGCATTGGACAAGTAAACCAAAAGTCGCGGGTTCGCCAGAACTGATGCATTAAGCCAGACTCGGTGTCCAGTATTTGTACGTACGTGCGTGTTTACGAACGAACTTTAACCATACTTACATCGTACTATAACCTGGACAGTATACTCGACTTGAGAAGCATTATTTTTCGCGACACATTTGTAATTTCCATTGTCCCATCTCGATACGTTGGAATTTATATATTCGGCTGAGCCTTTATCTTTCTTGACACCTTTCGTTAACTCGATGCTACCATTGTACCAGCTGACCTCTGGAATGGGCCTTCCGGTAGCTTTGCAACCCAATCTTATTTCTTCACCTTCGCGGAGTAGCCGTGTGTCTGGAGGATGGCTAACGATTTTTGGTGGAACTATGCAGAAAAGAGTGGTTTTAGACTTTACATTTATCAATCTACGATTGCAGGGTAACACTGATTACGGGGTAACACTAACTCCCTGACGAAGGCCCTCAGGTCGAAACGTCGAGAAGTGTTTTGCCTATTTTAGACAGTTGTTATACTATAAAATGTACTTCCATTGAAAATTAAGCTATTTACATCGACATATTTCAGCTCAGTTGTTCAATAGGTAGATGATATTGCTTTCCATTTTAAACTTATCCACCGTTTAAGTTAAACGCCTTTCGAACAACCGGCCCCTGGGGCCAGTTGTATTAAGCCCGTTTAGCTTAAACGATGGTCGATGGATAAGTCAAATTTAAATAACACTCTTACATCTCTCTTGAATGAGTCAACTTGAATAATATGCTAAATGCTTGAATGAGTTATGACACATCACTCAACATTGATTTGTGGGGGAAAGGGGGAGAATTTTGAAATAAATCCCGCGACTGCTGACTGTAGTGTCAATTAACACACAGGGTACGTCAATGTTTTGGCCATGCAAGATTGTAGCTTTTTTCCAACATTACGAAAAAAATTAAAATAATATCGATTACTCTGTTAATTTAGCCCTCATTTTCGAAGTAATTCAACGTCAAATATACGCAACTTAATGAGGTTTTTCAGTCCATCGCTAGGGCCACATTAATTTTGTCACCATGCAAGCTCGATCGTGATGCATTATATTAGTTACAGTAAAATTGCTCCTGTATTTTATTTAGTCTTTATTATCGTCTTGAAATTTTCCTTTCAACAATGCATCGTGAAAATCGTGTTACGCGTGACTGTTATTTTGTTCGCGCTTTTAATTAGTTCGATATTTTTGGAAAACTTGTATTTTTTGCTTACAAGTATATGCAATGTCCTATCTTATCTTGAATATATTATCGTAACTTTTACTTCTTCAACGTATATTTTAATAACCAAAGAAATCAGTATACTAACTTCTAACGATATCTGTCGTAATAAATCCGCCATGTTTACAAATGGAATGAAATTAGATATATTCAGTACATATGTATGGCCAAAATGAAAAAAACATAGAGACAAAAATTATCTAGTATTTCTCAATAATCCTTAAATCGAGAGACATTTGCGGCCATTTCAAACGCGTATATTTCAAAGTCCCCCGGACTTCTCAATAGCAGTCTTCGGGTTCCGAGCCCGAGCAATACGAAAAACGCTTTGCGGTCCCTGCTTCTATACAATTTTAGCTACAGTATACGCGATATAGCCGATATTGTGGAGCTTTTTTGCACATACAAATTCCTATCGGCAGTGTTTATAATTGCGAATTGAGAAAACACAGCCTATGCTATTTTTGTGCGAGATTTAATTGATTCTCAAACTTATTATTACAAAAAACATTCTATTTTCGAAATCGTAAGATGGTCAAAGAAGCTTCTATTAATTGAATGGATTCCCAATTAATAGCGTACTTATCCCATTATATTCCATGCATGTCACCCGAACCTTCGATACAGCGGCATGTGATGCGGAGCGTTATCGCATATTGTATGCCATGGGAAATCTACACGGTCGCCGAGATCGACAAAACGATCGAATAATGTGGAGAACCCTTCATCTGGTGCGTAATATCGCGAGTTAGATTGCCACAGAAAACAGGTGTGAACGCACACGCAGATTCCAATTTGCGCATTCATATTTAAAGAAAAGCCAATCAGTAATAATTATTATCGAGACAAAAAGAAGGCCCATTTCGATGCTTTTTTAAAGCACTATTCGCCAACAAGCATTGTTTCCATAAACACTTAGTCGAATACCGTATGAATGGAATGAGTGCAATTGTGCAAATGAAGCCCGTTCTATGGTTTTTGTATGCGAGGCACTCAGTTAGCAACAATTAAGTCATCGTCAATATTTACGTGTCTTTATAAATTCAGTTACGGCGGCTATTAACGAGTTTTAGTACTATGCACAGCTTGTTATTGCCCAAATAGGCATATTTTACATACAAGTTTGCTGGTGTTTTCCCCTCTTCTTTGTAGGCATGAGTAATTCATAAAGAACTCACACAGCGCAAAACAAGATTACGCCCAGCGGTGATAATTACGCTTTTACAAATAGATAAACAAAACAATTTACGGAACGTTGAGTTGACTCGCAGTAAAGTGTCTTTGGCCTTTGGTTGATAGATAACTTTGGCAACGCGTCAAAGTGCGCGGCAAACGCACTTGTGTGCATGTACGGCATTAATGAGTGTAAAATCTTACCCGGATTTTCCGTTTAATTTTGTAGCAAGTAATTCGCCTAAAGTTGAATGTTAGTCTTTAATAGAATGGCCCGTATTTGGTGATTTGTATAGATTTGTATAGATGCCCGGGAAATTTATATACGGCACTTTATGAATCAGCAATACTGTGATTGTAAGTGGCGATGTTAATGTGGCAGCCATGAAAGTTTATGGTTATATATAAATCTAGTATAAACTTTGGATGAAAAAAAGCACTCGTGAGTCGTGAATCTTAGATTGAAGTAATAAAGATCAACTGATATTGATAATTTTATATCAGTACTGCATGGCCATGTAGGGTTTAGATTGTAAGATACAAACGAAAACACATTGCCTGCTAAATAATCCTTGACCAAAGCCATAGCCAAAATTATACCAGGTTTGTTATCGCACTTGGAATAAGATAGCGTACTCGATAACTGCAGTACAAAATTGCGCATACACTCATATCAGACGTATGTACGTGAGCATGCATATATAGCATATACAATCGTGCGAACAATGCAAATTTTTAATGATTGATCGTTATTTTCGTACGTTGTTGAGTGTTATTTCATCCGCACAATGCTTTGTTATGTTTGGCGTTCGCATAATCAAACCCCACGATGCATGCGGCTCGAGGCTTCTCGGTTATCTGTGCAAACAGCACATTGCCGGTGACAGATTAGCGCTGAATTGCTTTTAAAACTCCCCAGTATCAATTGTGAGTCAACAACACAACTTATCACGACAATGACAATTTGCTACAATAACTCTCCATTTCTATAGCTCTGTGTGCAGCCAAAGAGGCATTACTCCAAAGTGCTTCGTGCATGAACAATCTGGGTTGCCTCCATTCGATGTCGGTATCTATTTTTAAAAAGCTCGAAAATAGCAACACTGAAAGGCTTCAGAAGTAAGTACTTGATACAATGGTTTTTAACCTTGTGATAACTATCTGACAGCCTCTTCAGAGCCACACATTGACGTAGCAGTGATGAGGTCCATTGTTTTAAAGATCTAATTTCGATCATAGATTAAGTGAATCTTTACATACTTCCATTTTTTGGGGGTTTTAAGATCTTCTCATCTTTCTTTTTTTTCCTTTTATATTCCAATTCTCAGAGTTATCGCTGGTTAAAGCTTTAAGAATTCCGGAGAGATTAAAAGATTTACCAAGTGGACAGTATATGCATGTGTGAAATGTTTATATTGAGAAAGAATCGAGTACCTCTAGCATGCATATATCTATTTATCAATGTAATGCTATAACAGGTGTATCTGTCGAAGTTCTAGCTCGGGCTTAATCACACATGCAACGACTCAACGAGCTAGTAGTAGTGATCAGCCAACAATTATTTCATGAATGTAGCTCTTCAATGCACTGGACAAGAGCTTGCCTGCATGCTTGGCTCTAATTATATTTATCAGAACTACCAATTTAAATTAAAACTCTTCTATATATCTGAATTATATCGTTAAAGATAAACGTATATTAGACGAGAGAATTAGGTGTTCTTAAACTTATAAACCCACATAGAAAACGTTTTATATGTTTTCTTCTCCCGTGTATAATTTGGCTTCAAATTTGGAAAATTTAATATCATTGCTAGATTAGCTGCAGATTGGCGCGGTCTGTATATCTGACTTAATAAGCAAAATTAACAGAATTAAAAATGAAAAATGAAAATTCTACCATCTTTCACAAAGTTTAAGCATTCAATTTACTTCGGTATACTGAAACGTTTGATAACAAGGCTTGCGACCTTGGCCTTTCTTCTACGCAATTAATAAATATTAAGACGACCCGTCGAAAAAAATCTGAAGGACTGAAATATAAAATAAAACTTAACGCTCGGCTCTTCTTGTTTGAGGTAATCGGCTTGCGCAAATGCTTGTATATATTCATCAGCATATGTGAAAGAATGTTGTATAATATATATGCTTCTGTATATATAGTAGTTTTCCAACGATTACCACGCGGGACAGTAATAGTAGATGACGTTTCGTATGTGTGATTATTATATTAAATAAATTATTCTCCCAAGGAGTGGGCACATTTAACTGAGCAGTTACAGCGCAAAGGGCAGAATAAATAAATCATTACCAAATAAATACGAAACTTTTTGCGCTGAATAAAAACATAAAAAAAAACTACCCGTAGACCGGAAAGCCCGAATAGAAGATATTCCATTTTATAGCAAGATATATTGAAATGCGCAGTACAACATCGTGTTAAATCACTTTCATGTTTGCTTATTGCTTTTCGAATTTCACGGCGTCATAATCACGGAGTCATCCGAAGCGTTAATAATTAAAGTATTTAGTAATACGCACTATAAAAATGTGTTAAATAATGCATTGCCGTTGGCATGCGACAAACATAAACCGGCCGAAGCCTCATTTTCTTCTGGATTAGTGGATTTAAAGGAAGGCAAATATTCCATAAAAACTGTTCCACGAGTTTAAAAAAATACCTTTCCATTTCAGATCAGTGTGGTCGAGGTTGCCCGCGTGAAGAAAAAAGCGGGGCATATTTTTGCGGTTAGTCTGCGGGGGAATTGTACTGAATAATTGAACAGCAAAAACGGGAATCTATTGAAAATATATATCAATGTCGAATATGATATTATTTTGAAACTTTGCGTATTGCGATAAAACTTATCGAGACAGAAATCTACGCATGTATAAATAACCTTCATATAAAGTCAATTTAAACGTCTTAGAAAGCGACCATGCAGCTTGCTACGCGATAACGTTACTAGAAAAAACAGTTTGAGATTGTACCCGTTCATTTTACAAACATAATAATTATTACAGTGCCTCTTTGATGTTTTAGCCTTGTTTAAACACATCTAAGTGTTCATAGTGATTTACAACAAATCTCAATACATATAGCGCCGTCGGTGAGTTTTAGAGCGCATTCTTCCCTGGTGTTATTAAGCGAAGTAGAAATTGTCAACTCAGCTTGATACTCGCTTTTGTCAATATTACAGTAGACTAATCGTTATTATTCGCGAATATACAATATGCATATTGAGAAGGAGCGAATATAAACACATATTTCTGACGGAATTCACCGCGTGTATTTATCAATATCTTGCGAATACGCGCACTTCAACCTAATCTCAAAGTCTCAAACTGCCAGACAAAGGGGGACCCCGAAATGATAACCAACTGATAAATCGCTTCGTAATAACACATGCTACTCTTGTGAATTTTCAACGTGCAAATCCGCTTTCGATTACAGAGTACAAAGGAAGCAATCTCACAATCATAGGTCAGCTAATCCGTTTTCATTTAGGCTTAAGAGGCCAACTCAAACGAATGCAAATCGAGTCGGAATTTAAAAATTCAGAGTCTCGACTCGATCGATTTAAGGCCTTTCGGCTATTCTGATCGAGACACAGATTCGAAAGAATTCCGTACCGTTTATAATCTAAGATATAAATAAAACCGTAAATTGTTTGCTTTTTCGTGCGGTCCTGGCGTTTAGTCAACAATCTATTCGCTCGTGTGAAATGCCCCGTGTTTGGACAAGTATATCCGGTAAACTATTTATGAGTAAACTTTACATCTCCACTTCAAATCCCCAGGTTCAACGTGTTTCAGTTCCAGAATTTATACCACGCGAATATAACGTGCATGAATCAGCATGGTCTTCAGTCCGCTCAAAACAAGTAGTGGAATATAATGCATATAGGCCTATATGTTCAGTTTAAGGTTGTTTTGTATTCGTTATATTCTTAGGGAACTTTATTTTTTATTTACAAATAAGGTACTCACCAAGTACATGCAATTTGACGGCTCTTGATAATGTTTTCCATTTAGCTGGGTAATCGCTTATTTCACAAAGGTAGTCCCCCTCATCTTCAATCGTAACGTTGACGATCTGCAAAGTTGCCTGATTAACGATCCTAACGCGACGTTTATATCGTTCTGGAATTTGTTCTGACATAACCGGTGGTCTGTGTGATTTAGCATTTTTCGCTCTGGTCGAGAAAAAAAACACTTTATAAAACGAGGACACTTTGGGTGAAATGCGCTCTGAGATTCCCCATTTCAAAAAGACATCCGTCTCTTTCGCGTGATACCTCCACAGAAATTTCACCGTTTCGTTTACTACCGCTTGAGTCTCGTTGGGCCATGTGATGAAGTCCAGTTCAAACGAACTCTCTCCGCGATCCACTATAAATATATACGAAACAAATAACAAATCTATATTCATATCAGGCTTGTGCAGTAGTTTGCACTTCTAATTTACAAACAGCCGATGCCGGTGGCTAAAAACGAGAGCTTCGTGCTGTCTTTGTTCGCTCTTCTAGCATATGTCATGTAAACCTTGTAACAAAAATCACTGGCATGGTCTTAGGAGCTGGAAGAGTTTGGGGGAAAACAGATTTACGATTATTTTTGGTTGTATGGCTAAATCATCTCGTAATTGAAAATTATTTCTCGTTCTAATTTAAGATTTACAATATATGTATATGTATAAGAATTACGGGAAGATCCAACGAGGCAGTCGAATAAATTCATTGAGATAAAACGATTTATCAATTTCTGTACAATTTTATCAACTGAAACATTCGAAATTTTGCTTCGTTGACACGTCTGCCGATTTACTCGATGTTGTTGCTAGGTTTTAGCGGACGAATTCGTTTATACTCTCTAGGTTACTACTTACTTACCCCAGGAGATAATGACAACTATGAACATGTATGACAAGCGAAATCTTCGCATTTCTCTGCCGACCGCAAGAAGCGTTTCAAAACGAACCAACGTTCAATGTGTTACGGGAGACTTAAATCCCTCGATCAGTTACCGATAGAGCACAGCCGCATGCAATAATATTCGATACTCCTTTCAAATGCAATTAACGTCTCGCAGCGGCCGTTCAGCAGCAGTTTCCTCTGAAAAACAATAAATTAGAAACATCTAAATATTGCCACTCGTCAAGACCTGGGGACTAGATTTGAGACCACATCAATGATATTCACGATTATTATGAGTGCGACTCGAACAGGTGGTTTTCCATCGAAATTTGAGGTATAAACAACACAAGACCCGAATCATCTGCTGCAGTAGTTGGCTTGTATGAAAATCATATATGCTGTAGCGGTCGCGCGAAGGTGGAATTTACAATCCTACAGCGCAGACTACAGGCTTTATATATGTACAGTATTTCGCCAGCATGTATCTGCGACGTTTAATGTTGATTTTTTGACCTCAGTCTGTGTAGGGTTATCGACGAACTATATCAGCTTAAAACAATGTTGGAATGGAATTCGGAAATGCATGCCACCGGAAAATTATCGCTCGTAAGCAATTAACAATTTTATTAGTAAAACGTGATTGTTTCAAGTGATTCACGCTATTACAGTTTTACCGTATTCTGCACTGAACAGAAAATCTATTAACGCGGTAGCCATTAAGAAAAGACTTTAATATGTGATTATCAGTCATTTGAAAGGGATCCAAGTGGATGACTATATTATATTATTTATATAGATATACTCCAGCATAAACGAAAAACATAGCCACCTTGGCTCTAGCCTCTAGCCTCTAGGTTAAGCCATATAGCGAGGCTTTATCATTAATTCCGCTGCCCGATACGATAGGTATAACATTAGTGTTACCGTGCCTCAATTAGAATAGCAGAAATGTTGCAAAACATCGGATACGAAATCCCCAACATATAACCAAACGTTATCGTTATTAATATAAAGCCGTGTTCAAATCGGGCCAACAGAAGCCCCGTTTACACTACACTCGATTTATTCGCAACGCACGGCTAAAATGGATACCCGTATACTGCCCATCTCATCTGTGCTCGGCCTTTGCTTTGGTAGCCTGAACACTAATAAAATTGGTTATACGGGTATACCAATTTTAGCCGTGCCGTGCCGATGGATTGAGTGAAGTATAAACGCGGGCTAGACATGCAGTGTTGCATCCGACAACTTTTAATAACATGCAAGGACAAATTACAGTTGGGACATTTAGGCTATACAGGCGAAGATAAGCCTAAGATTAAATAAATAAGTCGGGACCTAAATATACGTCGCAAACGTTTGTATAAACGCATATATGGCTTATTCCAAACTAGAATAGGTAGCGGTTTGTTTTAGTTGAGGCTTTGGAGCAAGTCTTATATAGGTAGTTCTATTTTAGCAGCGAACAAATTGGTACGTTTATACGAAGGTTCGCGCGACTTATTCGGATCGCTGCCATATAAATTCCATGTAAATGCGACTTATTTACGTCTCGCCGACTTATTCGGGTTGCGATTTATTTTCACTTGTATGCATGCAATTGCCTTAATATGCGGCCTGCGTGTTTTAGCGTTAACATAAAGTTCATAGAATTTTTTTATGTCCCATATATATCTATAGATAGATTAGATAGATTATTCCATTCGGTCAAAATTCGCAGTTTTTCAGAACAGCTGAATTGCATTCGAACGATGCTATACATCTATGACTGGTGCCGGGGTTTTTTTATTAAAATTAATTAAATCTTTATCCTCGTAGACAAAATGAAAAAAGTTTCATCCATGTTTGTAAAGTTACTCTCTTTATGTTTTGGTTACCCATTTATATTGAGGTTGAAATATTTTGACTCCTATGTATGGAAATGAAAATAAATGATTACTTGCATTTTCCATCATGTGAGATTAAATAATTAATTAAAAAACGTGTTTAATTTCACGAATATAATAAGCAATCCCGTAGACAAATTGAAAAGTTTATAAAACTGAAATTTCGGACATTTGAGAATTTTCAAAATAATGATATAATGACGATAAATTTTACGATATAATTATGATAGCTAAGATTTAGCATAGCTTTTCACTGAACATGAATGTTATGTGGAATAAGTATTTGCCATTAATTTTTTATATCACAACTGTAGCTACGTGCCGCCATACATCTCGAAAAGGTCTCCAAAGATGATTTGAGTGTTTAAAAAGGGCTACATATATTGATTTCGGCGACAAATATCTATTTTGATAAGCATGACCTGAGGACAAGAAATTAGACATTATATAAGACTTTCTGAGAAGTGAAACGCAGGCACCAACGATAGCAATATTATTTGTAGCTATTATAAGAATTTTTTGGGGGGAAAACGAATCATTTATAGAAATGTTTTACTCTATAATTGAGTCACTGTTACGTATAGTCCTGCGCTTATATGCCAGTCTAATATATGCCACCAAATAGCGGTCATGCATGTTTGGCTTTATTGCAGGATGTATATAGGAACCTATGCATGCATGTCATAATCATGCAACTCGTAATAAATCAACGTGCGCCAGACTGCATCCATGCACATAATATATCATTTTTTTAAATCAGACATATATCACAACATGTTGGTGCACACCACTGCAGCGCTCGCGAAAGGAGTTCTCAGCCAAAGCCGGCGAATCGCTAATCTATTTAAACTTTATAATTATCAATAAGGCGGTAGGACAGCGCAGGTTACACGCATGCAACGCCTCGCGTGATTAGCGTGCAGTAGCGCGGCGCTGGTTATTCGGCCTGCCCATGATACCTTCCTTAATTTCGTTGATGCTCGGCATCAGCTGGAGTGATATAACAATTAACGTGGACAAAAGATGGAAGGAGAGGGAGAATTGATACAGGGGGCTCGCTTGAGAGAACGCATTGACCAGGCACACAGGGCAAATAAACAAGGAACACAGTGTGAATTTGTACAAATGGGACGACGGTGAAATTATTTTATATATAACATAAGTAAATGAAAACAGTTGGGAGTATATACCTAGTCATGATGTGAGATCATGAGTCATTCCTTCTCTTCGCTAAGGCTATATTTATCGCGGCTTCGGGACCGTTCATAATTTATTAGATGCAGGAGAATACTAAGAATGGGTGATTTTTCAAGCAATTCAATTTTCAATGCCGATTTTCTTAACACCACACACTTATATTAGGGAGCTTTAGCAGTGACAACGAGTACGAGATTCATCATTCTCGCGATTGTTTGCTTTCGCCATCAGCCAAAACTCGTAGTCGTTGGGCTTTTGAGTAATTTTGAACAAAATCTAGTTAGAAAAAAATTCGGTTCCATTATTCTTCTTTCTCACCCATTCGGCTAACTCTAGCTTAACAAAGAGCCATCGCTGTCAGGTTGATCATTATAATATTTTGGTCTCCATCTCGATATTCCGCAGCCTACATCATCGCAGTGGTCTTTAATTCTATATAGCGTGATGAGGCAACTTCTTAATTGACCCGCTCAGAGGAATTTGGAAGGCTCAACTGAGCGTGATTACTTTACCGTGTGCCAACCTCGTACCCACGGTTTTATTACCATGGACAAATGAGCGATTGAAGTTCAAATATCACGAAAACATAAAGCAAATTAACATTTAATAAAATTATTTAATATAGTGTGCTTAGCCGCGCATACGCAGCGGAAAACTTCGTGATGGACGGGGTTGATACCATGCAATAAAATAATAAAACTAAAGGTATATAAACGCAACAAACACAGCGATGCGCATGTGTAATTATTATTTTCAAAATATTTGTATATGATACCACTACGTTTTCGACCATTGTTGAAAAAAATACCCTAAAGTCGCGTTTACACTGAGGCATTGATGCACCTGATAAATAATTTCCAAAACAGTTCTACAAAAAATTTACCCCTGTTTTTCAAGACTGATTATATACAAAGCTATACTAGAATACATGCATGCATGCAGCAACCCCTTGCCATTTAAACGAAGCAATTTTTTTCCTGCGCTAGCCAGATCTCAATATAATAGCGGATGTTTCACATTTTTCGAAAACAAACACAGTGTAAAGGTGAAATGAAATCACCGTTTACCCACTGCATTACGTTGCATACAGTTATAGTCATATAGACTTAGTTAATACTTCACTATAGCTAAACCTTCAAAACAGCAGAAATAATTTAAATCCCCAAATACTAAACGTCGAATGTTGTTTTTTGATTATTGAAATCATGCAGTGATTCCAGTCAACTTTATAAAAGCAGTTCAAAGTGTTTGTTATATCAAATTTCCAAATTACACTCTCGAAAACTCGTTTTGAAGTTATATAACGATGATGTAAAGCCTTAAATAGTCGGTTAGGTCTTCGCAAAACGACATACCCAGCTCATAAAATGCATTCTAACTGCAATCACAAGATAAACAAAGTAGTCGCCTACCATTTCACGGATTATAAAGTATGAGTTGTTCACCACTTAACTTTCCCAGTTCTGATCATATTCTAATCTTTTTCCAGTGTTTATATCATGCATTATTGTTTGATTCCGCATTTCATATTGTGTTTACGAAACAGTTTTTTACCCGAAAATAGTTTGCAAAATGAATTCAACCGTACGCGGATAGAGTTCTGGGTCAGAAATCCGCAAACGGCTGAAGGGTACCAACTGAAAACGGGGGTAACTGTTGGCCTACAGAGGAGGTGGTTGGTGGGTTTTCCCTAATCGATTGGCTTTCCACTTTCTGCCGCGTTCTAGCTTGTTTGCGACAGTTTACATGAGGCGTCGCCCTTAAGTACCTCTGGGACACGTGACTACCTGTGCTATCGTTATCTCTCCCCTTCAAGGTCTCATTTTACCTATTTCCTCTTCCGGTGCGGATTTTGAATTCTTCCCAGCTAATGAGAATACTATAGCATTCTCATTTAATAGCCTTTTGTCTGAATTCAACCGTACGGATTCAACCGGATGGATAGAGTTCTGGGTCAGAAATCCGCGAATGTGACTTCCGCGTCCTTACTGAACAATGCATTAATCACACTCTTTTATTACACAATTGCACATGCCCACGCCTTATCGAGCATGTCGCCTCCCAAAAAATATCCCTGAACTTGAACATTCTAATTGGTGGCCGCGGTCGATGTGG